CACATCCCCTACTGGGGATGTGCCCACAACCAAGGTACATGCCCTTGACCGGAATCGAACCTGGGACCTTTCAGTCCGCAGGCCGACTCTCTATCCACTGAGCCAAACCGGTTTCGGCCATAGGTTGATTCTTATATGTGCCCCGATCAGAGATTGAACCTGCAATCAGGATGATGCTCTAACCAACTGAGCTACCCAGCCTGAGCCTGTGGAGCCTTCTGTCCCCTCCCAGGCCCTGTCTCTTCCTCTCTGAACAGCAGGCCTGTAGGGCCCCGGGCTGGGACAAGGGCAGCTGTGTCCTATGTTTTTACCCCATGAAAGGGGCGTTATCTCCGTTCTAGCCTGGGACAGCTGCCCACCTCGTCTGCCCAGCATGAATGCGGCGCATTCTCTGCAGGGGCTCTGGGTTACACGCGCTCATGAGCACGGGCACAATGGTGCCGTGTACACACTGCACTGGGGCGCCCGGTGCCAGGACCTCGAGTGGCGTCCAAGGAAAGGACCTCCATCAGGGCTCTTACGGGCCGGGGAGCCTGCGGGATGCTGAGTTCCAGCCCTTGAGCTTCCCGGGGCCCGTGAAGCAGAGCGGGAGGTCTCCCTTCTTCACGATGAAGCATCGTCACCGGTGTCTGCTCTGCCTGCCAGGAGACATGGTCCCCACGCGTAGGAGTGTGTATTTGAAGTCTCCCATAGGAGCTGAGATTCGCCCCAAAATCTTATCCCCTCTGGAGGGAGGCCATTTCATTGAGGATGAAGGTGCGGTGACGGACCTGCCCAAGTCAGGAGGACCTTGAAAACATCCACGTCCGTGTGTATCTGAGGAAAGATGGCTTTTATGAGGCAACTATGGCCACACGGAACCATCAAGGGGTCCTTCCGGGGAGGAAGGCCCGCGGGCTCCGGCCCTGCTGCTCCTGCCGCCTCCTCAGGCCTGGAGGACACCCCTGATGTCTCCCATCGAGGACTGCACGGAGGTGGCTGGTCGGTCCTCAGCTGCAACAGTGGCCTCTGGACGGATGTGGAAGCCTCGGGTTTGCTTGAGGACGGAGGCAGGGGGGCGGTCGGACTGTGGCTCAGAGTGGGGGCCCTGCAGCCGGTCCCCAGGCACCTCGGCTGCCACCCCAGGTCCTGGCCCTGCTGTCCCACAGGAGTGCAGAGCTCAAGGAGAAGGCGGACTGCACCCCGGAGAAGCAGAGGGGTGTGGGAGTTGACTTTTTTTTGTTTTTTTTAAGCTGTTTTTTTGTGTCTGGGTAGAGCTGCTGCTTCAACAGTTAAGTGGAATTGCTGGCAAGCTGGCCAACCAAGGTTATCCGAGCAGCTTTCTCCTTCACGCAGCCCTGGAGTGCTGGGTCCACCAGCGCTGGCACCCTCTCCAGCTCCATTTACAGGGGGTGGGAGAGGGAAGGACAGTCAGGGTGTGAGAAAAGGAGCCAGGAACCCAGAGCTGTGAGCCCCTCTGAGTGTGTCTGGAGCCCAGAATCCCTGCATTTCCGTGCCCCTCAGGGTGGGAGAGGAGACAAAACCTGCTGAAGGTGCAGGGGGCCTCCCGTCCGCTTCCGCTCCCCTGGGCAGGGAAACACGTTAGGGACACATGAGGAGCCACCTCTGCATGGCTCCCAAGCCTGAGGCTTGAAATGAGGTGATCAGAACCTCCCAACCAGGAGGTCGAAGGTCAGGTTGCAGGTGGCCCCGGAGTTGGGGTCGGAGTGGGGATGGAGGGCAGGCTCAGGCTGGCTCTGGAGGGACCAGGAGAGAACAATACAGTAATTCTGTCAGCCAAAGAAAAAGCGTTTGATAAATGACAACTCCCATTCACAAACCTTTAAAAAATGTGCACTTAGCAAATTTGGTTACAGACACATGCTCTCGTGATAAAGGGAATTGAAAATCCTGAGCAAAGTGGTCCCTCATGGGGAACCCGCTATAAAATTTCAAGAAAGTAATGAGAGAAAGATGCTAATTGTCACTGCTTCTACTTAACGGGGTGCTGGAGGCCCCACCCAGCACAGCAGCGTGGGGAAAGATAGGAGGTATAAGGACTGGGAAGGGGAGACAAAACTGCCTTCTCCAGAGCGGGTGGGCATGACCTGGGAGGTGTCAGCAGGTCGCTGGCACCGGTCACCATGGAGACATCACTGGCTTTCCTCCATCCCAGCTTTCGCCTAGTTACGGCGAGGAGAAGGCACCGAGGACACACAAAATACCATTCGTGATCGGAGCACACAGATCAGGCACCCGAGTACGTATGTCGAAGGTTGTGTAAAACCTTTGGGAGAAAATGCTGCTTCCTTGAGAGACACGAGGAAGCCCTGAGCAGAGGGGGAACGAAGCAAGAGGGCCCAGCACCCAAGACATGTCCATCTTCTCCCCGTGAACCGAGGAGGATCCTAGTCAGAGTCCAAACAGAGTCTTCAGGGCCTGGGACAAACTGACAAGTAGAAGCATAAATGGTCCAAAAAAGCCAAACTTGAAAAACAAGGAGGAAGAGACGAGCCTTACCAGATACGAAGACTTCCGACCTGGCACCACCAACAGGGTGACATGGGGACAGATTAAGGAGAGAGCAGCACAGTGGACAGACAGCGTCATGTCCCCTAGAAATGGGAGGGGGGCGGCCATTGGACCAGCGGCCGCCGGCTCCTCACTCAGAGGCTCACACGGGTCCTCCACGTGGGGAGACCCCCAGTTGTTCTGACTCGAATGCAGCTCAGTTTCTGTGCTGGGCCAGGCCCCCTGCCCCGCGGTCTTGTTTCTCTGATTGGACCGGGCCAGCTGGATGCTCCATGCCCTTCGGCTGGAAACCCTACAGACCGGGACGACGCAGGCCCTGAGCACATTCCCCCGTGCATCTCGGGCTTGTTATGGAATTCAGCGGGGCGTCCGAGGGGGAGTGCTGGGCTCAGCAATTGCACCAGAGGCTCTGGCCTCCATTTGTCTGTTGCGTTTGAGTATTTTCACTCTTTGGAGTTCAAGGGACACCAGCTTCTTCTGTCACCCGCCATTTACACTGAAGCAGAGGTTCGTTCATACTGTTGACCTCACAGCTGCATGAACCCCAGGAGAGTTCTTTAAGGAGCGGACCCACCCGAGTGGTCCCCTGGAGCGGCCGGACACCGGGCAAGCATGTGGGCAGGGAGTCAGCGCTGCTCGGTCCTCACCTGTCCTTTCACCTGGCGTGTGCACCCCCCTCAGTCAGGCTTCCCATCGGGGGCACACAGAGGAGGGCAGCTCTCAGGACCCGGTCTAGGGCTCTGCCTTTCCCCGAGGGCTGGGCGGATGGCTCCCTTCCGCACCCAGCAGCCGTCCACGCAGCCTCCCAGCGGACAGGAGCTGGGCGTTCCTGAGACGCCCGGCTGGGTGTGGCGTTCTCATGCACCGCGGAGCCGGCGATCCTGGCACAGCATCTGCTCGGAGCCGGAGCCGCGGCTGGCCCTCCCCTGGAGGCAGCGGCAGCGTGGTGAATGCCATCTGAAAAGCCAAGGCCGGGTTTGCTGAGTCACAGAGCCCGCGGAGCCTCCCGGGTCGCCAGGAGAACGGTGAGGAGCGCACAGGCCGGCAGGGCTGGGCCTGTGAGTGCTCAGAGGCGTTGCTGTTTTCGGGGAGGACCGAGGTCGTTCTGCACAGGTTTATTCCTGCTGAACCCGCTGCTATATTTAGACACATTCACACCTGCCGGCTGGGAGTTGGCGGGGAGGAGCATGTGCAGACTCTCCCAGGGAGATGCTCCGAGCCTCTGCATCCCGGCTCCTGCCTGTGAGGGGCGCTGTCCCGCTTCCCTCTGGGCAGCATTGCTCATCCTGAAAGGGGTGTTTCTTTGGTGGCATATGCCAAGCTGGAGCCTGAATGGCAGGCATGGGGGTGGGGGCGGGGGATCGGCTGGGACTGCACTTAGTGCTGGGTGTGGCGGGCACCGACCACGGCCCAGTGGGAGGCCCTGCTGGCTCCGGGTTGGGGGAGGGAGGGACTGCCAGGGCCTTGCTTCATCTTGAGAACCAGGCCTGCTTAAGGCTCGAGTCCTCATCCCCCACCAGCCCTGTGGGTGGATGCTGCCTTCTCTTTACAACTTCATCAAGAATCACAATGTGGCTCGGCCGGCGTGCTCAGGAGGTCACGGTGCGATTCCCAGTCAGGGCCACGCCTGGGTTGGGGGCTCGATCCCCAGTGTGGGGCGTGCAGGAGGCAGCCGATCAATGATTCTCTCTCATCATAGATATTTCTCTCTCTCCTTCTTCCTCTCTGAAATCAATAAAATATATTTTTTTAAAAGAATCACAGTATGTCCATTGACATCACTCTACACAAGGAAATAGCATCCTATAAACACTTTTTTTTTTTTTTTTTTGGAGAAGCAGTTGTCATTACATTGTGCCTCAGTTTCCCCAGGCGTTCAGAGAAAGGGTTGTGGAAAGGGTACATGGGTCACGTGGCGATTAGTAAATAATCCTGCTGCTGACTGAGATATGAATGAGATGAGCTAAGGAAACGTGTCAGTGGGGTGAAGACCAGAGTGCCCGCTCTGGCCTCTGGCTCTGCTGTTGGATCCCAAGTGTGAGACAACGAGGACCAACACACGAGGACTTTCTTCCCAAAACCAAGATCAGGGTCATGGACGTGAGGATATTGTCATAAATCTAAGGCTTTGAGCAGCTCAGCAGTGAAAGGCTCCCTTAGTTCCCCCGGGAGCCAGGTAACCGAAGGGGCGGAGAGTAAAGGCTCTCGCCGATGGGTCCCGGTCAGGGGCGCTGACGGAGGGCCCCCGGCCTCTGCCACCTGGGACAGGCAGGCCAGCGCCCTCAGGGGAGGTGAGAGGCGGGCCTGGCCCCCGCCTGCCTCCTCTGGCCCCGGGCTCAGGCCTGAGGCTGGCCGCTCACCCAGCTGTGCTTTCCCCGCAGGTGAGTGAGAAGATGTAGCGGGGCGGCAGCAGGCACACCTGCCCAGCTTGGCGTGGACAGCCCAGCCCAGCCCGGCGGCCGCCCCAGCGCCCCTCGGGCTCCCTCACCATGTCCAAGAAGGGCCCGGGCAGCCGAGCCAAGGGGGACAAGGCTGAGGCCTTTGCTGCGCTGCAGGCCGCCAACGAGGAGCTGCGGGCCAAGCTCACGGACATCCAGATTGAGCTGCAGCAGGAGAAGAGCAAGGTGGGCTCCCCACACCCAGCTCCCCCCCCAACTCCTCCCCGCTCCCCGCCCTCTCCCCCCTCCCCTGGGTCAGCCCAGAGGCGGTATGGGGTGCAGCCAGGTCTCTGCAGAAGTGCTACCCAGTTGGTTCTGGCTCCCCAGAGCCTCTCCAGGCAGCTCTGGGGACGGAGCAGCAGGACACAGGCCCCGGCCCCATGGGAACAGCCCTGACTGCCAGGACAAGCCCAGGACCTTGTCAAGTGGAATCATCCCTGGACAATGTCCTTTCCCCCTGGAGTGTTCAGAGTGGCATTGAACCCGAATATACCGGGTCCAGCGTGGCCCTCAGCTATTTGAAGGCAACAGAGGGTGTGGGGACCAAACTCAGAAACCCAGCCCTTGGGGGTCCTTGCAGCCTTAGGGAAGGCTGGGCTTGTGCTGACGAGGGACCTGGGTGGGGAGGGTGAGAGACTGGTCAGAGATGGTGCCCCACTCAGCACTGCCCCACTGCCCACAGTGCCCTCCGCTCTCCATGACTCTGCCCCTCCTCCCACAATCCCAGGAGGTACTAGGAAGCGCTCATGGGCCTGTGGGAGGGGGCTGCGAAGGGAGAGGATGGAGGGAGGAGCGAGGGGGTTTCTCTCCTGGAGGGTTTGAAAGGCCCTCAGCTGTGGACTGGAGACTGTAAGTCCCCTTCCTGCTCCCCCAACACACACATGTCTCTCCTAGGAGGCCTGGCCAGGGAGGGAACCAGGGGACCCGTTGCTTCTCTGAGTTGCCTGACTTTCAGGTTCGAACCCGGGACCCTTCACTCCACAGGCTGACGCTCTATCCACTGAGCCAAACCAGCGAGGCCTCAGTTGCATCTTAAGGAGACCTTCTTGAGTGGAAGCAGCAACCCAGTTTGCAAACAACACTTTTGTAAGATCAGCGTGCAGACTTGGGCCAGGGCAGGGGCTGCTCGGGGACGACCCCGCCTCGCTCTTGTCTTGCAGGTCAGCCGGGTGGAGAGAGAGAAGAACCAGGAGCTGAAGCAGGTGCGCGAGCACGAGCAGCACAAGAACGCGGTGCTGCTCACGGAGCTGAAGAGCAAGCTGCACGAGGAGAAGATGAAGGAGCTGCAGGCCGTGCGCGAGACGCTGCTGCGCCAGCACGAGGCCGAGCTGCTGCGCGTCATCAAGATCAAGGACAACGAGAACCAGCGGCTGCAGGCGCTGCTGCACGCCCTGCGCGGCGGCGGCCCCGAGAAGGTCAAGACCGGGCTGCTGTCCGAGGCCAAGGAGGAGGCCAAGAAGGGCTTCGAGGTGGAGAAGGTGAAGATGCAGCAGGAGATCCTGGAGCTCAAGGGGGCCAAGCGGCAGGTGGAGGAGGCGCTGACCGTGGTCATGCAGGCCGACAAGATCAAGGCCGCGGAGATCCGGAGCGTGTACCACCTGCACCAGGAGGAGATCTCCCGCATCAAAAAGGAGTGTGAGCGTGAGATCCGCAGGCTGGTACGTGGGCTGCAGGTGGCGGGAGGGCAGGGGCGGCGAAGGCAGGGGGACCGGGGAGGGGTGGCGGCCAGGGCTGGGCCTGCTTCTGGGCACAGGCACCCGCACCACCGCTATTGGCCCTGGGGACATGAGGATGCGAGGAAAGGTCAGAAGGGCCAGCGGTCAGCAGAGGTCGTCCCTCTGCCCATCTCCTATCAGTTTTATCTCCTGTGTCTCGTTTGGGCCGGAACAGGATGCCTGCAATGGTTTTGAGAGCCCCCCTTCCTTAGATGCAGGTTAGGCTGCAAGCCACGCAGGGGACGTGCTCTGCTGGCACAGTCACTTCCTCCATTGCTGGGCGCTGCTCTGCAGTCTGTCCAGCTCACTGGGTCCAGAGGACAGAGTGAGGTGGCATGTCCCCCAGGCCGTCCTGCTGTCCCTGTGCCCTGTGCATGCTCTGAGGCTGGATGGTGGGAAGTTACCATCTTGCAGGTCAGGCATGGGCACCTGCGCATCCTGTGGTCAGAGACCGTGTCCCCTGGCAGGCCCCGTGGAGTCAGTGTTCTCAGAGCCCCAGGGCTGGGGGGTCAGAGAACATTCAGGAATCCTGAGGGGTTGTGCCGGTTATCTTCTCCCCTTGGAGCCAGGACCTCCTTGGTGGTTTGGGGGAATGGGGGTCAGTGTTAGTGGCGTGCCCCATGTCCCAGTGCGCGATTCATTAGGACTCGGCTGGCTCTGCTGGTGACACCCAGCACCCTGGATGCCTGTCCATGGGACACGGCATGGCCCTGCTCCCAGGCCACCAGCCCCTACTTCCCTGGGGCTCTGTTTTACCAACGGTGCTGTCATCTTGAACTTCCCAGAAAGGCTGCAGCCCTCTGGACCCATGGCCCGAGGGGAAACTGAGTGCTGTGAGGCAGACACCCCTCCCGCCCCGCCCAGTGTGTGCTCGGGGGCCCACAATGTCCTCCACCTTGCACTTTCCAGAGCATCTCTTTTCCATGCTCCCCCCCGGCTCCACCCCAGCCCTGTGGGTGCCACGTCTGCACGGCTGTCCAGCCCACAATACCCTCCAATCCACCGGCTGGCTCAGTGTTCACAGGAGACGGGTGGCCTCTCTCCTTCGCTGAAGGCTGGCACAGAGCCAGCAGGTCCCTTGGTTCCTCACCCCTGACGCAGACTCCCCAGAGGCAGCTCCAGCAGGTTCTCCTGGTATTTGTTCCAAATTCTCAAAAACATGCTTAAGCTTTCACTTCCTGATCCCTCCCTCTCAACCCCTCTTCTGGCCCCCTCCCCCCCACTCCCTGACTCCGGCTAGGCCTCCCTAAATTACATTGACCATGTATCAGTGGGAACAAATGGGCACCCAAATGGAGAAAACTGCTATTTACGGTGTGGGCAGTGTCTCGGGAGAACAATTGGAGTGGTGACCTGTCCCCTCCCAGGCATTAGATTCTCCCCTTAGCTTCCTCTTTTTTAAACACACACTCTCTCTCCCTCTTTCTCTCTCTCCCTCTCTCTCTCTCTCTCTCTCTCTCTCTCTTTCTCTCTCTCTCTCACACACACACACACACACACACACACACACACACACACTGATTTCAGAGAGGAAGGAAGAGGAAGAGAGGAACAGGAACATCAAAGATGAGGGAGAATCATTGATTTCTGCCTCCTGCATGCCCCCCGGTAAGGATCAAGCCTGCAACCAGGGCATGTGCCCTGACCAGGAATGGAACTTGGTTCCTAAACTTCTTGGTCCGTAGGTCGACGCTCAACCTCTGAGCCACACCAGCCGGGACCCAAAAGAACTTTTAAATGAATTCAGCAAGGTTTTAGGACAAAAGACCAATATGCAACCATCGTTTGTATTTTTATGTAGTATCAATAGTAACAATTCAAATTAAATGTTTAAAAATTCCACTCATGTTGGCATAAAAAAGAATAAAATATTTAGAAGTTTAACAAAAGATGTGCAAGACTTGAACTCTGAAAACTACACTACTCAACTGAGAGAAACTAAAAGTGAGCTGCATAAACAAAGAGGCATTCCATGCTCATGGATTGGTGAGCTGAACAAACAAAGATAGAGATTCCATGTTCGTGGACTGGAGAACTGAACAAATAAATAGACATTCCACATTCATGGATTGGAAGCTCGGCATTGTTAGATGGCATTTCTCCCCAGATTAATATAAGGAGCAAACAAAGCCGGTCGATCCCAGCAAGCTTTTCTGAAGCTGATTCTAAAATGTGTACGGAAATGCAAGCCCCTTCCTCACCTGGGGAAGCTTTCTCTATTCTTGGTGGTGGCGTTTTGTGATCTAAAACTGTACATTCTAAAGTGGCCTAATTGGTTGATCTTTTTCTGTATGGCTGGTGCTTATTATGTTTTGTTTAAGAAATTCTTTTATTCTGGAGCCATGAAGTGTTATCTTTTTAGAACATTATGCATAGGTATTGGCTGTGCCTGGGTTTTTGTGTGTGTGTGCGCGCATGCGTGCTATAAGGTGGTGGTGGTGGGGGGGGTCCAGTTATACGTTTTCCACAGGGATATACAACTGTTACAGCAGCCCTTATGAAAAAGACCACCTTTCCCCCAGTCCACAGGCTACTTTATTATTATAGGAGTGGGCTTTCTAGCTTGTTCAATCACAGCCCTTCTTCGAGTTCATTTTTAAATTATTCTCGCTTTTATCATAAGTCTTGATTTCTGGAGGAGTGTTCTCTGGCTTTGTTCTTCAAGAGTAACTGGACCTTTCTTGGCCCATGACTCTTCCATACAATCTCGGCGGGGGAGGGAGACCTGGCTGAGCTCACAGAACACATCAGAGCCAGGGAGGCATGGAAAAAGCCCATTACTTTCCTTCCGCTTGGAGTGAAAATTTGGCTGGAAATGGCCCTGGGACCTAGTGTCCCACTTCTGGGGACAGTGGGGGGAAAGAACACCAAAATGATAAAGGAGCTGAAACTGGTTTGGCTCAGTGGATAGAGCGTCGGCCTGCGGACTGAAAGGTCCCGGTTCGATTCTGGTCAAGGGCATGTACCTTGGTTGTGGGCACATCCCCAGTAGGGAGTGTACAGGAGGCAGCTGATCGATGTTTCTCTCTCATCGATATTTCTAACTCTCTATCCCCCTCCCTTCCTCTCTGTAAAAAATCAATAAAATATATTTTAAAAAACAAACCAAAAAAATGATAAAGGAGAGTCTCCACAATGACTGTGGAGTCTACAGGATATAGCAGCGTGTTAATCTGGTTTCCTCTCCACTGGCCTCTGTTTCCATAATTGATGTGTTGCCTCTGCATTTCAGTGAGTTCCAGTAAATGGGAATTTAGCAATTAAGGATTTTTTTTTTCCTATTCAGTTCACCGCTTCCCCATGAATTCTGCGATCTGGGCTAATTAGACATCTCATCTCTTTGTTTCCGAGCTGACTTCAGCAGATGGCTGATTTATTAGCTTACTGTAACCTTAAACAGCACGCAAAGCAACGAGACATCCTCTCCCGCTCTGCTGTTCGAAATACGTTTTAAACCGAGCCTTCTTGCAAATCTGGCGTCGTTTGTAACGATGCCCATGCCACCTGCGCCTGCGTGTCTGAGGGGCGGGCAGCGGTGGGTTGGTTCTGCCCTCCCCCCTGGGGGCAGCCCACCTTTGGCCTCAGACGCACCCATGGCGCCGGGAGGTGGCTCCTCACAGCTGTTAGGAGGCGGAGCACAGGGAGAGAGGGGAGGGCTGCCGTATGTGTGTGGGGGGACCCCTCCTGATGCTTGTGCATTCTGCCTGTCGCTATGGTAACAGATCTGCATCCTGCCTGCCTGTGTGATTGTGTTCTGTTCTCCTTGTAGATGGAGGAGATAAAATTTAAGGACAGAGCAGTCTTCGTGCTGGAGAGAGAGTTAGGGATTCAAGCCGGGCATGCTCAGAGACTGCAGCTCCAAAAGGAGGCTCTCGATGAGCAGCTGTCCCAGGTCAGAGAGGCTGACCGGCACCTGGGCAGCCCCAGACGGGAACTTCCTTATGCCAGCGGTGCAGGAGACGCCTCAGACCACTCGGGAAGCCCTGTAAGCACCTCCCCGTCTCGCACACGTGCGGCTGCGTGTCCCTCCGGGGAAGCTCCCCCGGCCTGTGTCCAGAGCCTGAGCCCTCCCAGCCTTGGAACGCCAACTGTGCCAGCAGCCCGCCAGCCGGGCCCCCGGGCCCCTCGGCTCTCGGGTGTGGCCAAGAGCGCGGGCAGCCTTTGTCCTTCCTTCCTTGTTAACGTAGTGTGTAGCCCTGCCTTCACAGGGTCCCCCTGCTGTGGACCCCCAAAACTTTGGGCTCCCCACTGGAGCCCCTCTGAGCCACCGGGCTCCCAGGTTGAGGAGGGGCCCTGGTGCTGGCTTCTGCCCGGGCTGGTGGGACATGAGGCTGAGCTGCTTCCCTGTCCACACACAGGCTTTGCCTTCTGCTCCCCTCATCCTGAACTTGACCCCCGTGCAGTGATTCCCGCCATTCGCGTCACCCATTGCCCGCCCACCGGCTTTCCATGTCACCGGGACACTGGCCTGCTTCTCCTTGGCCCTCCAGGATGGCACAGGGCCAGCAGCTGCCCGGCCGTGACGTCACCCATCTCCTCATTGCCGCTGCTCATTCAGAGCCCTCTTGGGTGGTCCTGGGAAGTCGGGGGGGCGGTGAGGGGGGAGGGCCTGAATTCCAAGGACCTTCCAGGAGGTCCTCTGGGCCTGCCCCTAGCCTCTCCTGCACCTGCTGAGTAAGGAATCATCCCTCTGTGCTCCTGGGCACCCGTTTGCTGCAGGACAAAACCGTGTGTGAGCTGAGCCAGCCCTGGGACGGTGACATTTCAGGATAGAAAGTGACATTCGATCGTCCTGTTATACATGGCGGAGCTGATATGGACAGCGCCTGCCCTGGGCTGACCCCGGCTGGAGTGTGCCAGCCCCAGAGGTCTCAAACAGCATTACATTGTTGTCACAGATTTTTGCCCGAAGTTCCAAAGTGACCTTTCAGGAGCATAATCTTGGGGAAGCCGCTTTTGAGAGTCGTGAGTCCAATGCGCTCACTTTAGAATGCTAGGGAGGTGATTCCCGCAGGGGCAGACCCTGCCCGGGGGGGCAGACGGCAGAGACTGAGGCGTGCGTGGGCTGGTTCCGGTGCTTTCTGGGCTCGCTGTGGCCGCGGTGCCTGCCTTTGCATGCCCTCACCTTCCACCTGCATTTTCTGGACATTTCTGCTCCTGCATTCTGTCCCATCTCACGGCTTGCCACCACGGCGCTCCAGCCCCTAGGAGGGTCCCTCGCCCACCGCCCATCCAGCGTCTCCGGCCATCGTGACCCGAAAGTGCTCTGGTCCCCGCGCCGTGCTGGGGTTTGCAGAGGTTTCTCCGTCCGCATCTACGAGCAGTTATTTGCAGTGGATTTCTGTTTCAGGAACAGCAGTTGGATGAAAAGGATGCCCGGCGTTTCCAACTTAAAATCGCAGAGCTAAGCGGCATCATTCGGAAACTCGAGGACCGGAACGCCTTGCTGTCGGAAGAGAGGAATGAGCTGGTGAGCGGCAGGGCAGGGGAGGCTGACTTCCAAAATCCCCGTGGAGAGGAGCGATGGTGACAAGGGCGGGCTCGTGTCCCGGCCTCTTGGCTGTTTCACTAAAACGGTGTTAACAAAACCAGGTTGAGGGCCAGATATGGGCCTCAGCTGCAGGTTGGCTGAGCCCTGCTCTGTATTATTGGGCAAAAGTATCCTCCGTTCTTCATGTTGTCTGAGGACCTCAGCCTTCAGCGGCGCCATCGCTGTCAGTCCCTGCAGCCGCTGGGGTTTCTGAGTGGCTTGTCCCTGGATGAGGGCCGCTCAGGGCTCCCCGGGGGTCCTGGTCCCACAGCTCTTATCGGACTGGACTCCAACCCTTCGCTGTCGCCAAGCTAGTTCTGCTCAGCCTGCAGGTTCCGTCGGGTGATGGGCTGCCTCTCTGTCATGCCTCAAAAACCGCGCTTGTAACTAATGGTGTCTTTCAGCTAAAGCGTTTGAGAGAAGCTGAAAGCCAGTACAAGCCTTTGCTGGATAAAAACAAGCGGCTCTCTCGGAAAAACGAGAGTCTGTCCCACACGCTGCGTCGGATGGAAAACAAGTTGAAGTTTGTCACGCAGGAGAACATAGAAATGGTAAGGGGCCCTGACCTGTCCGTCAGCCACAGGAGGGTAACCATGACAACCTCACCACACGGTCTTACACGTTCCCGGCCTCTGGAGTCCTGTGGGGATAGGAACTACCTACCAGGACCTTAGCTGAGGGTCTGGGCTCTTGAGGGCAGGGTGTCGCCTGCCTGGGGAGTGACAGGGAGTAAGATTCTGAGCAGTCACACCCCCCACCCCCAGGCCGCCTTCCAACTCCGAGTACCTGGGGCAGAGGTGGCGGGAGCTCAGGACTGGCTGTGAGAGAAAGGAACAACCGACCGGGCAGGGGGCACTGACCAGGGGGCCAGGGGTGCCCCACTACTGCCGCCACCACCAAGCAGGTGGGGTGATTAGCTGGTGTCGGGTGTGTTTCTTCTGCCCCTGAGGGCCCCAGAGGCCCTGAATGAGAGCTTAACCAGGGATGTGAGAAAGGGGGGAGGTGGGAGGATTGCCCTCCACACACCCCTGTGCAGAACCTCTTAAAAAAAGAAAAAAAAAATATATATATATATACACACACGGACAAACATATATATATATATTATTGATTTTTTTTACAGAGGAAAGGGAGAGGGGTAGAGAGTTAGAAACATCAATGAGAGAGAAACATGGATCAGCTGCCTCCTGCATACCCCCTACTGGAGATGTGCCCCAACCAAGGTACATGCCCTTGACCGGAATCAAACCTAGGACCCTTGAGTCCGCAGGCTGAAGCTCTATCCCCTGAGCCAAACCGGTTAAGGCAGAACCCCCTTTTTTACACTCTGACGTTGGGAACGGCTGTGGGGTGTGAACTGGCTCGGACAGCTCACATGTGCCCATGGGCTCTGAGCCCTTCCTGTTTCAGGTGCTAAGACGCAGCCTCGATTTCCCAGGCTCCAAGCGGGCCGCTCCGGGGCCTGAGCGGAGAGGGGAGGACCCTGGCTGCCCGTCGCCCAGTCGGACTGCCCTGCTCCTCCCCGTGAGTGACGTGGTCTGGTTGCTTTTCAGAGACAAAGAGCTGGCATCATAAGGAGACCCAGTTCCCTCAACGACCTGGATCAGAGTCAAGATGAGAGAGAGATTGACTTCCTGAAACTCCAAATTGTGGAGCAGCAGAACCTCATCGACGAGCTGTCCAAGGTGCCCCCCAGCTCCTTTCCCCCCCTTCTCTGCGCTGCCCCCTGGAGGCTCCCCCCCCAGCCCCTTGCCCCTGGGGGTCTGCCTAAAGGAGCCCCACGGGTGGTGGGGTTGTTTGTCCTCCCGGCCCCTCCCTGGGGTCATCTTGGCTGGGTCCCTGCACCGGTCACACTGGAGGTGGCCCCCTCCAGACCAGGGGTGTCAGGAGCCACAACACCAGTGCTGGGGCCATGGTGACTACCACCCGGGGCTCAACACCACCGCCACGGATTCCCTCCCAGTTCTGGAGGCAGGACCCCAAATCAAAGTTATAAGAACTTATGGGGGAACAGGAAAGGGGAAAATCACACACATTTCAAAAGGCCAGTTCGCCCTGCACTGAGGGCCCTGGGGCTGGGGGTCAGCTGAGGGTGGGAAGGAAGCCCATTGGGGCCGAATGAGGCCGCCCCTCCCAGGGCAGGTTGGCGGGGAGGGACGCCATACTGCAGTCAGGAAGCGCCAGAGGTTTGGGGGTGCGGGACTCTGGGGTCTGCTCTCTGAGCCTCCAGGCGAATGAATGTCCTCTCTTCCAGGCGCTGGAGACGGCCGGTTATGTGAAGAGCGTGCTAGTAAGTACACTTGGCACTGCCTGTCCGCACGCTCTCTCTGGTGCCCTGTTCCCGGGATCCCTGTGCCCATGGCTCCTTCCAGGCCGGACAAGTAGCCGTGCCAGCTCCCAGGTGGATTTTGTGGCCACAGCGCTACCTGCCCTGAGGCTTTGCCGTGGTGGCCGAGAATGCCCACCTGTCCAGGGGCCACCAGCTCTGCCCAGTACCAACTCACTTATTCAACCCGCGGTCGGAGGGCCCTCCTCTCCCCACCGTGGTTCCCCAGCCCTGCCGGCATGCACCCACGGGCTGAGGCAGGTGGATTCGGTCACCGTCACAAAGATGCAGCCTCGATCCCTAGAAAGAAGGAGGTCACTGGCCTCCTTACACATTCAGGGGGTCCACGCCCACATCTGTGGGCTCCCCGTGGGCAGGCAGCTGCTCAGAGGACGCAGGAGCTGGCTCATCTGTCCCCACGGGTCCCATTTCTGTTGCTGCCACTCGAATCCCCTGCCCCCGACACGGGCCCTCCAGCCAAGCACCACATCAAAGAAGCTGAGGGACCGATGAGCGTGGTGACCGAGCCACCCACACAGGCCAGGCCCTCCTCCAGCCCGAGGAGCGGGGACAAGCTGCCCACCCCTGCGGGCTCCCCGAGCAGGCCGTGGGCTTGGCGTGTTCATGTCGGTGTGGCCAGCACGCCAGCCTGTCCACACCCACCCACCCGTGCTCGCACGGAACCTTGTCCGTCCATGTGAAAGGGATGGAGCTGTGCAATTACTCAAAAGCATCTCTTCAACTGGCTTCTGCAGGAGCGCGACAAGCTTTTGAGGTTTCGGAAGCAGAGGAAGAAGATGGCCAAGCTGCCCAAGGTCAGTGTGAGGGCGTCGGCATAGCTGCACCTAAAACGTGTTTCATTTTTATTTATTTATTTATTTATAAATATATTTTATTGATTTTTTACAGAGAGGAAGGGAGAGAGATAGAGAGCTAGAAACGTCGATGAGAGAGAAACATCAACCAGCTGCCTCTTGCACACCCCTACTGAGGATGTGCCCGCAACCCAGGTACATGCCCTTGACCGGAATCGAACCTGGGACCCTTCAGTCCACAGACCGACGCTCTACCACTGAGCCAAACCGGCTTCGGCCTAAAACGTGTTTTAAAGCCGCCTATGTGGGGATAGGAACTACCAAGCAGGGGCACCTATGGGGGATGCATCGATTCCTTTGGGCGTGAAAAGAAAATGATTTTATTATTTCTAAAAATTGTTTCTGTGGAAGAACCAAAGCAGGACCCAAAGGAAATAATTCGGTTGATACTTTCAAATTTAAAAATCCAGCCTTATTTCTTTTTCTTTTTTTAATTCTTACCCAAGGACATTTTTCCATTGATTTTTTTAGAGAGGGAAAGACACAGAGAAACATTGATGTGAGAGAGACACATTGATTGATTGTCTCCTGCACTCACTCCAACCAGGGCCCAGGCTGGGGAGGAGCCTGGAACTGAGGAACATGCCCTTGACCGGAATCGAACCCGGGACCCTTTGGTCTGCAGGCCGATGCTCTATCCACTGAGCCACACCGGCTAGGGCCAGCCTTATTTCTTTAACATTTCCAAGACAAGATATGAATTCATGATAATAATAAGGAGGGGAGGAGCCTGCCTGGGACTCTGAGGCCCTGTAGGCTGCAGGCCCCAACCCACCCCCATCCGCAGGCCCCACGCAGGCCCCTCCCTCGAAGACCTGGGTGATTTCTCTGCTGCACGATCCTTTGTGATAAACCTGTGATTTTTATTAGCGGGGATCTGGGAGACATTTCCTAAGCACCTGGCTCATGTCCTGCTTTTTGCAGAGCGCGTGTGGTTTTTGTTTGGTTTTGAACCATCAGCCGTGTCCTTCATGTGAGCCAGAGAGAGGCCCGTGGAGGTGTGAGAGGTGTAGGTCAGTTGCAGGTACTTAGAGGCTCTGAGGCCGAGAGGCCGACAGCAGGTCCCAGCAGCGTGGACGGGTGGGGGGAGGTTCACTCTCTCCCCCTGGGCCAGGTGCTCTGTGAAATGAGAGGAGGGACAGTCAGGAGCCATCAGTGGACGGGGCAGGCCTGGGGGCCGAGGACGGGGCATTGGCTGACTGGTCCAGGGGACCGGCCATGAGCTGGCCATGCAAGGTCCGGCGGGGAGGGGAGCCTGGGTGAGCTGTGGGGCGCCCCTCAGGCAGGGCTCTCCTATGAGCTGGGGAAGGTGCTTGTTTTTACTTTTATTCTAATCTGCCGAGGACGATGCTTTGAAAACACAGTGAACATGAGTCACTAGACACGGGGCCATGTGCTGAACGCCAGGCTAGTGCCCACTGTTCGTCCTGAGTCATGTCACCTGCACGGCGGCATCCGAGTGCCGCTGCCCTGGGCCCCGCAGAGCTGGTCCCCACGCCGTGCTCAGTCCCTACCGTGCGGGTGGCCCACCTCTCACAGACCTCCGGCCCCTCGGCCCTTCGCCAGCCCCTCTTCCAGAAGGACCACGTAGCAAGCCCTTGCCTGAGGTCGGGCAGCTGCGGTGGAGCCTGGGGTGCCCCGGGGTGTGGCCCTGCAGCTGGCCCACAGCCGGGCAGCAGAGGAGCTGGCGGGAGCGGCGAGAGGCCCCTGGGGCTGGCGCTCGGCCCGGCTGGTACGAACTCACACTGTCCCTTTGACCGAAGCCGGTGGTGGTCGAGACCTTCTTCGGGTACGATGAGGAGGCTTCCCTGGAATCGGACGGCTCCTCCATATCCTACCAAACCGACAGGACGGACCAAACCCCGTGCACCCCGGACGACGACCTGGAGGAGGTGACGGGGCGGGCAGGCTGGGGTGGGCGCTGCTCCCCGCAGAGGTGCCACCGTCCACCGTTTCACACCATGACAAACACCCCTGTTGCTGCTGCCCAGCTGCTGGGGCCGCCCCTTTCTCTGAGCACACGCTCCGTCTGCGCCACCCTGTCCAGCGCCCCCTCTGCAGAGGTGCAGAGAGCTCTAGCCCTTTCAAGCGGCTGCCTGTGGGGAGGTCTGAACCATTGCCAAGGGCACACGCCAGGATGTGCATGGGCAGCAGAAGCTGCCCGACCGTCCCTCCTTCTGGAAGGATGCCAGCCTCAGATCCAGGCAGCCACCTGAGCCTGACTGGTCCTGCCTGGTGGCCAGGGGACAAGGAGTGGCCGCACGGAGGCCATGGTGGGGCCGCCCCTGGCAGGTCTGGCAGACGCCCCATGGCCAGGGAGCTGCTTAGAGCTCTCAGACACAGCAGCGCACTTGCCACTAGAGCCTCAGAGAAGGGGATGAGGCTGCGGGAGCTGGGCAGGCCAGGGTTCCTGGGCCCGGCTGCTCCAGACATGGCTGCCCTCCCACGCAGACCTCTGGCTTGTTTATGGAAAAGCGATCCCTTCGGGGTCCAGTTGGGCCCCAGGAGGCAGCAGCAGCCACCTGCCTCTCCAGGTGGGCGCCCAGCGGGGCCCGGGCCTCGGCCACCCACACCCCAAGGCCTCAGACTCACCTCCCGGGCCCCCAGGTCGCGGCCGGGCGCTAACGCTGTGTCTGCGCCTCTCCAGGGCATGGCCAAGGAGGAGACGGAGCTGCGGTTCCGGCAGCTGACCATGGAGTACCAGGCCCTGCAGCGCGCGTACGCCTTGCTGCAGGAGCAGGTCGGAGGGACGCTGGACGCAGAGCGAGAAGTTAAGGTCTAACTGACTTCCACTCCAGTGGGACCTCCCCACTCGACCCCTGTATCACCCCACCTTCCCCCCTCCCCACATCCTGGGCCCTTCGCTGCCCCCGTCAGGACGGCCCGTGCCCAGAACACTAGGAACCAGTGTTTGGGAGCCGGTGCTGGCTCGCCTGGGCACAGGGGTGCTGAGGAACCTCCGAGAGCAGTGGGCCTTGCCCCGGGGCGTGGTGGAGGTCACAGGGCCTGCAGTTCCTTGAGGGTGAGGTCCCCTTCCTTGCACACCTGGCAGCGAAGGCCAGGGGTGAGGGAGGGCCAGCAGTTGAGCTCAGGTTTTGACATTTGCTGGGAGTATTCACTCATCCAGCACATGCCGAGCTCAGATGCTGCACCCACCCGCTGCCCCTTAGGGGAGAGGAGGCCCCGAGCTGAGGGCCCCCCAGGCCCTGTGCCCAGCTGGCCCCAAACGCTTTCATCCATTTGCCTTGGAAACCGTGCCCAGGGGAGCAGGAGCGCCCTGTGGTTTGGACACCTGAGGAATTAACTCACAGGAGGGGCCCCGGGCCCCAGGAGGCGCAGGTGGCACTGAGGCTGCTGGTTTTGTAAACAAGGGGGAGGCTCGGGAAAGGAGGGAACCCAGGGCCAGCAGAGGGCGCCACGCTGAAGGGAAGGCTCTGTCAGGGCTGGCGATTGCTTTGCTGGCCACACTGTCATCGGGGACTGGATCAGCCCGGGCCCGCACCCAGCAGGCCCAGTCCTCCTTGGCCGTTTGACCCTGCACTGGAGGATTTCCCTAACAATCCCTCAGAAGGAATCACAGATCACCCCCGTATGGAGTGAGGGCCTCGCTTCAAGGAAGCGGGAAGGCCTTCCTGACGGAGCATCCTTGCAAAGCGCTAACGGCCACTTCCCGCCTCTAAACCTCCGTCATGCGGGCATGTCCTGGCTCTTAGGGAAAATTTGATGTCTCCCCTCCTGTCCTACAGACCCGTGAGCAGCTCCAAGCAGAAGTGCAGAGAGCGCAGACTCAGATAGAGGACCTGGAGAAGGCCCTGGCCGAGGAGGGGCAGGTGAGTGCGTCCACAGCGGGGCACGCGGGTCTGACCGAAGCAGGGTTGTCCTCTCCTGTCTCTATCCGGGACCCCCAAGGGCGTGGATGATGCCATGGGGTGTCGTTAGGAGGGTGACAATTGTGAGGCGGCTGCTTCAGGAGCTGGGTGCCGCGTCCGTCTGTCAAACCCTCTGCTCCGCTGAGACGTGGTTGAAATGTTGAGTTTATGGTTTTGTCCTGCAGTGCATTGATTCCTCCATGTCCATTTCATTTTCAAGGACATGAAGTGGATTGAAGAGAAGCAGGCCCTGTACCGGAGAAACCAAGAGCTTGTGGAAAAGGTGCGCTGACCCGTCCTGGAGCCTGGCCGGTCCCCTAGGAAAAGCGCCATTTCTCTGCTCAGCGAAGCGTGCGGGACCCCGCAGGCTGGGCTCTGGGCCAGGCCCCCAGGCCGGTCACCATCCCCAGAGGCTGTCGGGAAAGGCAGGGAGTTGACCTCACATGACCTCCAGGGTCTCGCCCACCTTTTCTTTTTACAGATCAAGCAGATGGAGACGCAAGAGGCTCGGTTAAAACACGACGTCCAGGATGTGAAAGACCAGAACGAGCTGCTGGAGTTCCGGATCCTGGAACTGGAGGTGCGCTGGGGGTGGGGGGCAGGGCGTGCGCAGAGAGGCCCCAGTGGGGTCGCCTGTGGGGCTGGGGAGATGGAGGGCTGAGTCAGCCCTCTCTCCGCCTTCCTGATGCACAACCCCAAAAGGCTGGGTTGGAAAGGGTGCATCTCTTTGCATGAGGGTGCCAGGCAGTGACCAGATGCCTGCCTGCCAGGGCAGCTAGGACATGAGGTCCACGTCTGAGGCAGGGCGGCAGTGACCTGGGTGGCCATCTGTCCTGCTGGCACCTGCACGCAGCTCCAGGGCCCCTTCTGGGTCCTGGCCGCCTTTAGGACACCTGGTGACAAGGAGGTCATGACCACCGTCTTGTATGACACTGAGGCCCATCTTTGCTTTGTTTCTCTGAACCCTCATTTCCATGGTCTGTTTCCTGGCATCTCTGCACACCTGAGGTGGGCTGTAGGGTCCCCACTTGCCCACTGAGGAAGCAGGTTGAGTCCAGATGGAGTTGGCCCTCAGGGTGGCCCCCTCTACCTCCCTGGGGTGCAGGAAGGCTGTGCGGCTCCCTCTGTGTGTGACGGTCCCCTTGGCCTCGGGGCTCTTGCATTTGGTCCTGGCTGAGGACACAGCAGCAGCAGCCGCTGTCCTTGGGAACTGCTCTGCTCAGGCCTGTGGGGATACTGTTCCCCAAGTCAGTTGGGGTTCCCGGTGCATGATCAAGCCCCGAGGGCCGCCTGGGCTGGGAGCTCCGGCTCCCGTGGGCATCTTCCCGGGGCCATCTTCTCGGGCAAGTCCACTGAGCTTTCAGCCACCGCTACAGCCGGAGCTTCACTTACACAAATGTCGTGTTGACCACGTTTGGTGGCCTCTGTGGCTTTACTGTGTTCCCTGGGCTGCCCCAGCGCAGCCTCCATGGTGGGAGGAGCCGGGAGGGACCGGCCGCCCGTGCCCAGCCTTGCTCTCTGTCTAGGAGAGGGAGAGGAAGTCACCCGCCATCAACTTCCACCACATCCCCTTCGTGGATGGCAAGAGCCCCCTGCAAGCGTACTGTGAGGCGGAAGGCGTGACGGTAACCCCCCGCCCCACCTGTGCCCAACGGTGCCCAACGGTGCCTACCCCCGCCCCACCCGGCTGGCGCTCACCTCCCCCGTGTCCCTTGTCTCCAGGACATCCAGGTCACAGAGCTGATGAAGAAGCTGGACATCTTGGGGGACAACGCCGTAAGTGTATGTTGCTCTCCTGACTTGTGCATGCCTCCTCAAGCCGTGGTCCGGGGCCCCCGTGATCCTACCGCAGGCTGCCCTGTCCAGCCCAGCCACACCCTCCTGTGGCCGGAGCTGCTTGAGACGGGCGCCAGGCATTTGGGAGAAATTCTGTTCCTTCCTCATGCTGTTCCTGTGCCCGTGTGGGTGGCGGCCACCCACACGGGGGTTTGGGGCCTCTGCTCTGCGAGAGCAGGGAGCCCACACCCAACTCCTCAGTAGAGATACTTCTAGCCACACAGTCTCAGTTTCTGGATCCCTCTCAGTCTTTAACTGTTCCTGGGATGGTGCTGTAGACACCCCAGATTTGGGAGTCTCACTATCTTGGTTGGGAGGGTGGGCAGAGCTCATTAATAATTCCAAGTCTCATTTAGGCCAGATTTCCAATTTCTACAACAAACACCCGGAAGGAATCCTAATTAGTGAAGGGACAAAGTAACCATATCTACATCCCAGACTCCAGCCTCTGTCCATCCATCTATCGTCATCCATTCATCCATCCATTCATCCATCCATTCATCCTCCATCCATCCAGCCCAATTGTGCAGCTCCATCCATCCTCCATTCATTTATCCCTCAACCATTCATCCTCTAGCAAGCCAGCCTATATCTATCCATCCTTCATCCTACGTCCATCTATCTTCCATCCATCCATTCATCCTCTATCCTCCATCCACAAAGCTGCTCCTCTATCCTCCATTGTCCTTCATCTCCATCCATCCATCCTCCATCCTCCATTATCCTCCATCGTCCATCCTCCATTTACCCACTCTTAATCCTCTATTCTCCATTCATCTATTCCCCATCCTCCATTCACCATCTTACACTTGTGAGTCCTCTGCCCAAGGGGGGGGGGTGTCAACTGCACTAGGGGGGTGTCAACTGCAGCCCCACCCTATACCCCAGACCTTCCCCCACCCCAAGGTGTACTAACAAACACATGGCCCACAACTGTCCTAAAGTCCTTGGGCTTCCCATCCTGGTCACTGCTCTCAAGAAAGAACATTTAGACCAGTGGTTAGCAAACTGCAGCTCGAGAGCCATATGCAGCTCTTTGGCCCCTTGAATGTGGCTTTTCCACAAAATACCATTTTTTCTATTATTTTTATTTTTATTATTTATTTTTATTTTTTTTCAATCCCCTCCCCCCACTCCCGTACATGCCCTCCCTCCCCATAGTTTTTCTTCCATTAGTTACTTATGCTTATATGCATGTATACAAGTCCTTTGGTTGATCTCTTATCTCCCTTCAAAAGACATTTCAATCGTACTGTTGGTATTGGGTTCTATTGACTAATTAGTTTGCCGATCACTGACTTAGACAAACTAGCGCACTTCTCACAGTACATGGAAGAAAAAGAAACACATGCAAACACACACACACACACACACACACACATACACACACACTTGCTCACTCACAAGCACATGCCCAAACCCAGACATTCATGCTGCCTGGCCAGTTTCCCGGAGGCAGGGAGGATGCGGGGCCCTGGCCCAGCCCCAGTACCAGGCCTGGGTCAGTGGTGCAGCGTGTCCCATGGACAGAGCCTGCCTCTGTGCCTATAGCACTTGGTCACTACCCGCCCCCCATGCCGCCTGCACAGGTGTCAGGATGGCAAGAGGCCCCTGCCCCTAGGGAGCTCCCACCACAGAGGGAGTCAGGGGCAGCCCAGCTCTCACCACCTCATGTGCCCACACCCTCTGAGGATGCTCACTGGTCTCAAAACCAAACTCCCCACCTGGAGGGACCACCCAGGCAGGCTCCTTGGAACAGGAGAAACATGCAGAAAAAAGGCAAAGCACCAGCGATGGGACCATTTCACAGCCACGGTGTGTGCTCTTTGCTCCACATTTGCCAGCGATGTTTTAATAATTCAGGGCCATGTAGGCAAAGAGCTGGCTTTACATGAAGATGGGGCGTAGACAGCTGGGGACACGTGTATTGTTGCCTGCCTGCTCGATACACTGCCTGCCCATCCCATCCTGCCTCAGTGGGCTAACTAGACCATCATGCCGCCAGCAGTGAGAGGACCAGCGAGGACAGAAAGGAGAATGCACCCAGAGCGAACAGGGTCACAAGCAGGGTACCAGACTCCTGGGAGGGCGTTTTAGTAAAAGCAGCCTTAGCTGTGGCCCCAGCCCCCACCTTGCATCTGTTCAATCAGCCCCACTAAGCACCCACCACTCTGCCCCATCATGTACCCTCATTTAATCCCACCATGCACCCTCATTCAGCCCCACCATGTACCCCTCATTCAGCCCCACCATGTAACCCTCATTCAGCCCCACCATGTCCCCCTCATTCAGCCCCACCATGCACTCTCATTCAGCCCCACCATGTACCCCTCATTCAGCTTCACCATGTACCCCTCATTCAGCCCCACCATGCACCCGTTATTCAGTCCCACTGAGCAGCCATCAGTCATTCTCACCATGCACCTGTCATTCATCCCAGCTACCCTGATGGCCCTGCCCTGACTCTCTGTCTATTCTGCTTTGACGCAGAATCTGACCAATGAAGAGCAGGTGGTTGTCATACAAGCCAGGACCGTCCTGACGTTGGCTGAGAAGGTAAGTGATGCTGTGGGTGCTCAGCTCAGAGATAGTGCTCCTGCTGGCAGGGGGCAGACTCCCTGGAGACCAGCAGGCTGTGGGCTGGATCCCGCACTGGCCTGTTCCCTGGGCACATGGAGCTCAGGGAGACCATGGTGCCAGCCCAGCCCCGATTCCCGATGAGGGCAAGCTTTCCCCTCCATGAGGGCGGCGGGGGGACGCCGGGGCCAGGCCTGCCCCCTCCTTCGGCAGGCTGTTTACGTGACGGGGGGAGGGGATGGTACCCCAAGGTCACAGCCACCCACTCTGTTTGTGTCCAGTGGCTCCAGCAGATGGAAGAGATGGAGACAGCCCTGCAGCGGAAGATGGTTGACCTGGAGAGTGAGAAGGTGGGTGGGTGTCCCGCCATGTGGCCCACACCCCGGCATCACCAGGCTGGACCCCCGAGGCCGAGACCCAGGTCCCTGTGTGTTTCAGGAGCTGTTCAGTAAGCAGAAGGGCTACCTGGACGAGGAGCTGGACTACAGGAAGCAGGCCCTGGACCAGGCCCACAAGGTAAGGGACGTGTGCTGCTGGCCCTGGGGGCATGGCAATGGGAGTTCTCCCTCGCCAGTACCCTGTCTCCGGGGCCAGTGTGGGCCAGGCCTCAGCCTGCGGGAGAGCCGGGGCCAGTGTGACCGGTGGGTCACTCCCTGCCTGTGACCCTCTGACACCCCATTGCCCGGCGAGCTCCGAGGATGCCCAGGCCCGTCATCAAACGCTTCGCCCCAGGAACCAGGGCACAGGAGCAGTCAAGGGGACATTTGAAATGCGGTGATAGCATTGAAGTCATTGAAATAGGATTCATTTGTGAATTAACTGAACACAGTTAAGTAACACCTCTCTCCTGGGATTCCTGCTGTGTTCGCCCCCACTCCCTCACCTACTCGTCTGCCTGCCGGTGGGAAACAGCGTCCCCATGACAGATCCCAAAGTGTCCTGCAGGAGCCAAGCCCACGCCTGCTCTCCGGCCATTAGTTACCCCGGGAATGAGTGTCTCCCTGCAGGGCCGTCCTTGTCCGTGTGCCTTTGTCTCCCCTGGAGTGCGAATCCGTGAAGGCAGAGCATGTCATATGCTGGTCCAGGGCCCCCCTTTCACCCCAGCAAGGCGGCCTGAGCGAGGTGCCTGAGGATGGGCTAAGAGCCGGTGTGGGGTCTGGGACTACTTCCCGGAGTTGCCAGGAGGGTCAGAGACGCCCCCAGGGGCCCGGGCTCCTGCTCGTGTGTGTAGGAAGGGGACGCACATCCCCCTCCCAGGCCCCTGGGTGTTAATTCTAGGCCCACACGCGCCTGTGTTTAGCTGAGAACCCGGAGCTCCCCTCACACGCACTCACACGCTCCTGCTCTGAGAAGGTGGGGTGGCGTGTGCGCGGGCCGGGACAGCGCCGTGGGGGCTGTCAAGAACGAGGAAATGTACTCCTAAGTGAGGTCCAAAAGTGGGTGCTTTTCTTTCATTTCTCCAAATGCCTACTCAGCCCAAAGGCCTTTTCTTAATCGTTTTGCCTGAAGAAAAGGAGACATTCGTGTGTGAAAGGGCACGTTTCTGATAGGAAGATGGGCTTCTGTAGTTTGAGAACGTGGTTCCTTCAAAGACTGTATCTCTAAAGTCCCAGAGGAAAAAAGCTCTCCCAGCCTCAGATCCGATGGCTGAGCCCTTGGGAGTGTGCATCAGGGTGAGCGCTGGGGCGGAGTCAGAGCAGGAGTCACTTGGCATGTCCCTGGCTTCTCGGTCACGACAGGCTTTCTGGAAGGCGGCAGAGGGCTGAGGTGCTTACCCTTCTCGCCCCCCCGTGTCCCCACCGTAGCCCACGCTGTCTCCGCTCAGTCCTTCCCTGCCCTGAGTCTCACCCATCAGCCCCGACCTGGGGCCCGGGGGCCTGCTGTCCCTCGGCCTGGTCAGCTTCTCCCTTACCCCACTCTTTTCAAGGGGATGAGGGGTCTGTGGAGCTCCAGGCCCTCCCCTGAGGCCTGTGGTGATGACCATGTCCCCTAATAGTCACCCTTCGCCCTGGTCCATGGGAAGCCGCCCACCAGCTGAGGTGGCTGGTGCAGGGCTGGCGAGGGCTCCGGAGTATCGGGTGGTGCTGTGCCAGTGTGGCGCGCTGGTGGGCCTGGACGACCCTGAGGCCCAGTCCTGCCTCCTCAGGGAAGCTGTGACCCATGGGGAACAGGGAATGCCCCGCGTGTGTCTGCGCCCGAGTGCTGGGGTGGCACTCAGTGGCCCTCCCACTTGTGGAGAGGGAGTGGATCGAATCATACACACACACACACACACACACACACACACCCATTATTGATTTCAGAGAGGAAGGGAGACGGATGAGAGAGAATCACTGATCGGCTGCCTCCCACACGCCCCCTATTGGGAATTGAGCCCACAACCCAGGCATATGCCCCTGATCGGATTCGAACCTAGGACCTTATAGTCCGCAGGCCAACGCTCTATCCATTGAGCCAAGCCGGCTAGGGCTGGATTGAATCTCTTTGGGAACACAGTTCACTCTACCATAGGTGGCATTGGGGAGGACTCAGATGCCCGCTCCCTCAGCAGGGAAGGCGGGAAGTCAAGGACTCGCACTCTGTCCTTAGTCACAAGAGCCCTGTGGGCACTGCCCTTCCTCCCGCCTCGGGACTCACAGCCCAGGTCTGAGGAAGGATGTGAGCCCAGGAGGAAGCCTTCCCTCCCCTGTTCTTTCCTCGGGGACACCTGCCCACACCCCACACCGTGGGCCGTCACCCCCCTCTGGGCTCACGGATCTGCCAGCCACGCTTTCCGACGTTACACACCGCGCCAAGGGCTGTGCCCCTGGGCCGGGTGGCAGGGCACCATTGCAGCCAGGCCGGGGCCCTCAGTGCAGGGGCTCGGAGCTGTGACACCAGGGGACGGACGGGGTGCCTGGCCCCCCACCGGGCGAGGACTAACCTCTCCCCTCCCGCCCAGCACATCCTGGAGCTGGAGGCCATGCTGTTCGACGCGCTGCAGCAGGAGGCGGGGGCCAAGGTGGCGGAGCTGCTGTCGGAGGAGGAGCGGGGGAAGCTGCGGGCGGCCGTGGAGCAGTGGAAGCGCCAGGTCCTGAGCGAGCTGCGCGAGCGGGACGCCCAGATCCTGCGGGAGCGCATGGAGCTCCTGCAGCTGGCACAGCAGGTGCGCCGGGAATGGGGGAGATGGCGCATGAACGTGCCCTCCAGTGGCCACTCCCATGACCACGCCCTATCAGCCACTCCCATGCAGACCCTCCTGCCAGGCCACCTGCCCCTCGTCAGCCCCCGCCCCCCCCCGCCCCCCGGGGCCCACGTCCAGCACGGCCGTGGCTCGGTGGCTGCTTGGGCGCCAGGTCCCTGAAGGAATCCTTGGGAATGTCTTCCCACGTGGTGTCCCAGGCAGCCTGTAACGAAGCCTTCCGTCCCTTTGCCGTTGCAGAGAATTAAAGAGTTAGAAGAAAGAATAGAGGCCCAGAAGAGGCAAATAAAGGAACTGGAGGAAAAGGTAAAACAAATGCACGTGTTGGGGCCTGTTTTGTTACCGGAGCGTCTGAAAGAGAGAAGGACCAGTAACCCTCCCGGGCGTCATTGGAAGCTGGCTGGGTCGGGGCAGAGTGGACAGAAACAGGTTTCAGGCCGCAGCGGCTCTGGACCAGGAGCCTGGGGCCTGGGCCGCCTCCTCCGCCATTGCCCAGCTGTGCGACCTCTCGTGTCTCATGACCTCAGTTTCCCAGCTGTGGCAAGGTGTGCCAGGCTCCCTGACAGCCGGCTGAGGCATCTGCTTTGTCCAGGACGAGTCCTGTTTCTGGTCCCTAACACGATGGCTTCTAGGTTTAGGAGACTCGCGTGCTGGCACGGGTTTAGTTTGGGGCCACACAGCTTGGGGCCTGGGGCGGACTGTCCGGCTCTTTTCCTGGACCCCGGCCTGTGAGGTGTGGGGCCCCGTCCACTCCCGGAATTAGTGCGACTTGGCGCTCCCCAGACCGAGCTGCCTGGAGCGGGACCGGGGAGGACCTGACTCTTCCCGTGGGGCTTTGCTTAGTTTAGGGCAGTTCTTTTCCTGTAATTTAGGGACGTTTCAGTGATCGCCAGTGACCACAAGTGATGGGTTCTTATGGTCAGTCCCGCCTGGAGGGCAGGCCTCAGGGAGTGGCGGCCCCTCACTGAGTGCCGAGTGCAGAGGCCAGTGGGATCCGCCCCCGGCTGGTCCCTTCCACAGAGCAGGAGGCTGGTGTTTGGACGGGACCCCCTCCCCTGTGGCTGCACATCCTCCTCAAAGAGCCGGCAGAGGAGAGGGTCCCCTCCCCACAGCAGTCCTCCAACAGCTCACCCCGCCCCACCCTGCTCACCCCACGCTGCCCACCCCTCCCGCCAGTGACAAACCCGGGGCACTTCACTGCCACCTGCCGAGCAGTCTCGTCCCAGTAAGTGTGCCAATCCACTGCGCCCAAGGCTGGCCCCAGAGCTCCTATCCCACCCGCCTTCTGACCAGCTCCCCCTCCTCCGCACCCCAGCCTGTGCCCCTGAGAGGCAGGGACGCACCAGGCACGTGCCTCCTGCCTGTCCCCCTCCCCCCAGCCCTGCCTCTGGCCGGTGCGAGGTCCCCGGAGCGTGTCTGTGTGGTGGCCACATGTCACTCAGACCCAGGGCGTGTCTCCCCCCCGGAGACGTGATCCTTAAACGGCTGACCCCGGCCGGCCCTCGTCTCGTTCTGTCTGCGACCGCCGTGTCTCCTGCCAGAATACTACAGCCTCTCTCTTCTCTCTCTCCCCTCCATGTCTCTGCCCTCCCCTCCCTTTCAGTTTCTATTTTTGTTCTTATTTTTCTCCTTAGCGTTCATTCTGTGGTCATAGCTCGCCCGGGCACCCTGACGTGGTGAGTATGTCATGGCCCAGAGTTTCCGGGCGAGGGTCCCACTCTGCCCCCTGCCCGCCCGGGAGGTGCCCGCAGCCCAGGACCCTCAGCCCCGGCGGGGACCAGGGTTCAGAGGGGCCTGCGATCGTCAGAGGGCACAGGGCGCTGGCCTTTCTTGACAAAGAAGGAGGGCAAGGACCCCCCACCCACCCACAGAGCGGAGGGCTGTGTGCGCCCCAGATGCCTCGCGGCTCTGTTTCCTGTGCCGGGGGCACGAGCGCTGGCAGAGCATTTGCTAGGTCTTTTGTCCTCTCCCCGTGGTATCGGGTACGAGCTTGGGTCCCGCTGGAGACCCGGCCAGAGAGGCCAGCCTCCCTGACGCGCTGGCTCGTTCACGCCCCGATCAGGCTAAGCTGTGGGCCATCCCGCAGCTCTCACACCCGGGCCACATGGGAGGCCGGCCACCGCCTCCTCCCGAGACAAGAGGAGAGGTCACGTCTGTGTGTGTCCGAGGCCCCGCCCTTCACAGGGCGCCCGTGAGGACTTCCCCGGGAGGTGGTGGGCCTTGCCCCCGGGGCCCATCCTGCAGCCTCTGCCCATCACTGAGCCGCCGTCCTGACGTGTCCTCGTCTGTTGTTCCAGCCCCCAGAGGAGCCGGAGCCCGTCCCTCCGGCTGGACTGCACAGCAGCGGGCGCCTGGGTGGCACATTGAGGCGGCCTGCGCCATTCCTGCGTGCCCAGGAGGCTCTGGTCTGTGCGGACGCCCTCCCGGGGAGGCAGCGGCCGAGCGGGGGGCTCCAGCTGCTCTGAGCAGGCGGCTGTCCGCCCTGACGAGCCGGAGTGAGAACTGGTTTCCTGACGGGGCTCCACGGAAGAGCTTGGTCCTGGCTGCTGGACCCTGGGGCCCCTCCTTGGGACGCAGCCCCCCCAGTTCCCGTTCCGGGGACATGAATCCCCTGCTGTGCAGGTGCCAAGGGCGTGTCCCCGAGCCGGCACCCCACCCCTCCTGGTTCCCGCAGCAGCTGTTACCTGGTCTCCGAGGAGGATTCTCAGAAAAACGCAGCTGCCCCACAGAATGACCAAGTGTGGCTGTGGCCGCGACGGTGACCTGTGTTCACTGCGTTCCGGGCGTCCCGAGGGGGCCTCCCTGGGCCGCCCCCGCTGGGCTGCGCTGACCCTGCGACACGCTCACTGGGCTCCCTGCACTGACTGATGGACACATCACAATGGCCGCCCTTGTTTGAGGCTGACGCCCCAGGGCACAGCTGGGGCTGCGGCTGCCACGCTGCCCCATGCCATCACCGCAGCTTCCTCACCGCCGGAGACGTGAAGGCTGGGGCTGGTGGGACTGAGCATGATGACGGCAGTGGATGGCACAGCGGGCTCCTGGGCAGGGCTCTGACCTCCTCAGAGATTCAGTGGCCACTTCCAGCAGCAGCCCAGACCCATGGAGGCCTGGGTGCTGGTCTCCGCCCGCCCAAGGCCTGCAGGCCACAGGGAGCTGAGCGGGGTTGAAGCTGCCCTGTCCAGAACTCTGCCCTTTGAACTCTGCGAAGGACGGCAGGGCACCTGGGAAGGTGAGGAGGGAGCTGGACGCCGAGGTGGCGAGCAGGTAAGGCACTGCCACACGTCCATGGGGACAGCGCCTCCCTCCCGCCTGCTTGGGGCCCTGGGGGTGGGGGTGGGGGGATGACATCTGTTTGGCCACAGGATTCCACCTTATCTGATCCTGCTCAGTCCAGCGCAGCCGCTTTTCCATGTGGGTCAGTTTGCTGGGACACTCCGCTGTGTCTATGTGGGTGGGTGGGACGGGTGGGGGTGGCTCACTGCTCATTACTGCCCCTGGACCAGGTCTGATCCCCAGAGGGTGTCCATGTGTGGGCTCCTCACTGTGTCCTCCATGAGCTGACCCCATGTGGGCCTCCTCAGCCCAGACCCAGGACACCCCCAGGCCAGTCAAGGCCTCCCGGAGCCCCTGTGAACGTGCAGGGACTGTCCCTGAGCTCTGAGCATGGCCTCATCTCTGCTCTGCAGTGGGGAGCTTGTGAAAGGCGCCCCACATCTGCTCCAGCCCCACTGGATCTTAGCTTGCCCAGCCCCCCATCTTGCTGGCTTGAGGGGTCCCCGCTGACCTGAGAGACTGCTGCAGCTCCTGTGCCTCCCCCTCGCCGGTCTTTGTCACCGAGTTCCCTCCACCTTTGCCGCGTTGGTGGGCAGAACTGCCTAGTCCTGACCCCGGCTCAGGCCGCCACGGTGGGGGGAGTGGCCCCTCGGTGATTTGTTCTTTCTTTAAAAAAAAAAAAAAAAAAAAAAAAAAAAAAAATATATATATATATATATATATATATATATATATATATATATATATATTATTGATTTTTTTACAGAGAGGGATAGAGAGTTAGATACATCGATGAGAGAGAATCATCGATCAGCTGCCTCTGCACACCCCCTACTGGGGATGTGCCCACAACCAAGGTACATGCCCTTGACCGGAATCGAACCTGAGACCTTTCAGTCTGCAGGCCGACGCTCTATCCACTGAGCCAAACCGGTTTTGGCAATTTGTTCTTTCTAACATCTGTGGATGCGGTGACTTCCAACCACAGGACCCTGGCCCATCGCTGCCCTCCCCTGAGAGGTCACTGCCATCCCAGGCCCGGGCAGTGCTCTGTGGAGCTTTGTTGCAGACACAGTGTTCCTAAAGGGTAGTTGCGCTGTCTCGCCAGTCTTGAGGAAGAGAGGAGAGGCGCTGTGCGCGTCTCCCGGCCGTGCTTCCTGCACGTGATATCATGGCGCCCAGACTCACCGTATTGTGTCTGCGTGGCGTGGGCTTTCCTCCCTCTGACGGACACTCGGGTTTGCTCATATGAACAGTGCTTCTGGAACATTCTTGTAAAGTCTGTGAGTGTGAGGGGCAGGGGCTGCTTCTGGGCGTGTGTCCACCTGGGAGCCAAAACCGGACACGATGCTCAGCCTCCCAGACTGTGAACGGAGGCTTTCCCCGTTCATGTTGCAATTTACTGTCGCTCTTTGTTTAGAATCCTCCTGCCTTAGGAACGGCAAAGCTTTCCTCTAATGTCCCTGCGAGATGTGCAGAGTCGCAGGCAGAAATGGAGGCGTCCCCTCCCCCTCACCGCTCTGCTGTCTAGCCCAGTCTCTCGGCTGCAGCTCGGGCCACAGCTCCCTGCCCGCGGCAGCTGCCTGGTGATGGAAATGCAGCCATCTTGATGGAAGCAATAATGGGTCTTTTTAGAGGCACAGCCATGGGGCCATTACCAGAGAGGTCAGTGTCAGAAAAGACAGCTGGACATCCCCCCGTGGGGCTGTGAGAGCTGCTGCCTGCCACCCAGACAGGAAACAGGACAAGCACTGGTGGGGAGCAGGCAGAGTGCGCCCGTGTGACGTGTGTGTGTGTGTGTGTGTGTGTGTGTGTGTGTGTGACGTATGTGAAGTGTGTGATGTACTCGTGACGTGTGTGATGTGTGATGTGTGTGGTGTACGTGACATGTGTGATGTGTGTGTGATGTATGTGAAGTGTGTGATGTACTCGTGACGTGTGTGATGTGTGATGTGTGTGGTGTACGTGACATGTGTGATGTGTGTGTGACGTATGTGACGTGTGTGATGTACTCATGGCTGTGTGATGTGTGTGATGTACGTGACATGTGTGATGTGTGTGTGTGTGTGTGATGTATGTGACGTGTGTGATGTACTCGTGGCTGTGTGATGTGTGTGATGTACGTGACATGTGTGATGTGTGTGTGATGTATGTGAAGTGTGTGATGTACTCGTGACGTGTGTGATGTGTGTGGTGTACGTGACATGTGTGACGTGTGTGTGACGTATGTGATGTGTGTGATGTACTCGTGACGTGTGATGTGTGTGATGTACGTGACATGTGTGATGTGTGTGTGTGATGTATGTGAAGTGTGTGATGTACTCGTGATGTGTGTGATGTGTGATGTGTGTGGTGTACGTGACATGTGTGATGTGTGTGTGTGTGTGTGTGTGTGTGTGTGTGTGGTCAGGCAGAGGCCTGGCAGCCTGGGCAGTTGGATTCTGCGTCCACACTGGCGAGGGACTGTGCAGTCCCCGTATATGATGGTACACAGATGAGATCAGCCGCCTTCTCTGCAGGAGGGACACGGCTGACCTGGCTTCTACACACCCTTCGGGCCATTACCTGGAGGTAGTGACCTGGTGAGCCCTGGGCTGACGTGGACTCGGTGGGATCCTGTGTGCTCAGATGGTTGGAAGGCAGAGGACGCACCTCCGACCCTGAAGGTGCTTGTCCCCTGTGCCAGCAGCGCCGTTTCCCCGCAGCTGATCTCAGCGGGAACTAACTCCCAACACAAACACAGGCGCAGGCCTGCTTCTCGGGCTCTATTTTGACAGGAATCAGAATGCTGTTTCCTGATCCATATGTATGAGTCCGTTTGCACGTGGGACCGACGGGCGTTCTGCTTCCGCAGCTCTCAATGAGGTTCTGACGTGCCCGTGTCTGCGGGCCGGGGCCCACTTCAAAGCACCAGGCTGTCAGCACCTTCCGGTCCCTCCTCTGCTCATTCTGGCGCCGTGACACGGAGCCGGTCCATGGCTTTGGTTATCTGCCTATTCCTGTGCTTCCTCACCTTTCCTCGGTGCAGGCCAATATGGACACGACGCCATAACTCGCTCTCCTAAATGTAGCGAGGCTTTGGCTGTGGCGGCCGTCCCTCCCAGGACACCACCCCATCGCCGCGCAGTTGCCAGTCCAGGGCGCTCTCCTTCGGGGACTGTCGGCTGACTTAGAAATTAGGCTAAAAAACCAAAACAAAAAACCCACAAACCCTCTCCTTCTCTCCTGGACCAGAAACCTGTGGCGTTTCTAAAATCTGAGACCCTGGGGTTTTGCCTCTGACCCCTCCCTCATCCTGCTCTTACTCCTGCCGCCCCAGGAGCCGATCCTGGCCTGGCCTCCTTGTTAGAAGGCCTTTCCTAACTTGTTCCTGACATCACAAAGGTAAAAGACGAGAAGGAGGGATTGCTGCCTAACACAGCCCCTTTCTAAGTGGTGATGAGAAGAAGGGGTAGGAACGTGGGCAGCTGCCCCAGGCGTTGTGGAAAGGTCTAGGCCACTTCTGCACATGGCTTCGTGCGTGGAACCCACGGACCCACCTTTGTGGCCCCATGACCTTCAGGAACGCTGGTTTGCATCTCTTGGGCAGGGGCTCAAATGTGGCACCGTGGCCCCTGGTGCTTTCTCAGGCCTTCCCCTGCGTGCCTTGGATGGCTCACGGTAAAATAAAGCTTTTGTCTTCCCTCTTTTTCAGAGGAAACAGCACACGTGGAAGCCAGGGTTGGTGTGATTTCCCTTCCCGCCGAGGGCTCGGTCTGCAGCCCAGGAACGCCGCCCAGCACCGGGATGCAGCCCAGTATCCAGCTTTTCTTCTGTGGGCCTCACCTCTGGATGGACTAAGGTTGTTGCTCTCAGTACTGAAGAAGTTGCAAGGGGTGTGTGTGCGCGCGCGTGCATGTGCATGTGTGTGCACATGTGTTTGTGTGCACGTGCACACACTTGCTCCACCAGAACACCATGCACAGGAATTTAGCCCTCAGGGCACTTAGAAGTGGACACACCGGGCAGTTAGCCGTGCAGCCAGGGGAGAATAAGCTCAAGTGTTGCATAAAGGAACACAAACCGCATCACCGAGCGGCAGGAGGGAGGGTGGCTGCGTTGTCTGAAGTGTAGGTTCAGTTTACGTTATGTTGGAACAAATGCTCAGCTCTGGTGGGGACGACAGCGGCAGCCGATTCCCTGGGCTGGAATGGGGAGACGCTGACAGGGTCAGACAGATGTGCTTCCTGGGGGCGGGCAGGGTTCCGCTGGGCAGCACACTATTCAGCACGTCTGTGATTAGGGCCATGCTGCCTTAGCATGCACTGGGATAGGACCTGGGCCAGTTCATGATGACTGTACCAGCATTGGTTGTGCTCAGAACCGAATGGCAGCAGTAGCCTGGCATTAGTGAAAGGCCCAAGGACTTATGGACGAACAGATGGAAGGGTGAGGGAGTGTGGGACCCAGGCATCAGGGGACACCCCAGAAGGCCATGCACTCCTCTTGTGGGGTCCCCCCAGTGCGAACCTGCACAGGAGCAGCAGCCATGCAGGCGGCCATTCAGGATCTAAAGATACACATTTGAAATCCGAAGTCACATCCCTGTCTCCTTGGACTGTTCTGGCTTTGCATGTTGTCCACATGTCTGGAGTTTCTTCATGGGCCAACCCACCCACCCCGACATGTTTAATCACAGCTTATACTTTTAAAAAGGGCACACTGTCCGGGAGAGAGAAGCATATGCGCATGCACTGATGCATACAAAGTTGTTACACGTGAAATGTGTGTCCATAGGAGAGGGACACGGCTCAATGGATGTTTCAAAAAATATTCCAGGCACCAGAGCACACTCGCATCCCTGCCGTCTTCTGAAAGCACACGCAATGTCCCTTTTTCTCCTTCGACAGCATTGCTTTCGGTTCTGTGTCAGAGGCGCCCGCTTTCATCTCATTACAAAAGCCAGCGTTTCAGGACTGGGCTTTGCCCACACGGCAAAATACGAGCATTTGCCGCTGATTCCTGCTGGTCCAGCAAGCATCTGGAGAATTCAAGTACTTTAAAGAAGGTGCATGTTCTAAATCCTAGAGTGTACCTTTTACTCAAGACCAGTGAGCTCTTCAAAAGGGGAAGTCTGTGTGGAAATGCATCGCTCCCCAGTGGACCAAGTGGGGGACCCTGAAACCTTGCCAGAAATGCTGACTGTGTAACCAAGACGTCAACATGTATGCAGCACAATATCTCTCATGTAGCACTGTGTGCACACCCCAGAACAGCGCACCGCTTCGCCTGTCTAGACCAAGAGACCCACGTGAACCGCAGCTTCCTTGCTGACACGGAGGTGTGTGCACCTCGGTCTGGGGGGACCCCACGCTTCGGGACACCCTGCGTGCCTTACAGGGCCCCGGAGGTCAGGAAGGAGGGTGTGTGGGAATGGGTTTAGGGCTCTGTCACTTTCACCTGCTTTTGCCGTCGTCAAAACCTTAAGGTGGGCTGTGTGTTTTAACACAGCAACAGACTTACGTTTAGGCTCAGGAAATCAAGTTGTACATATATGTATCAAATCCTATATTTGTTTACTGTCTATTTTTTAAAAGCTTGACTGTACATTTATGCAAAAACAAATTGAGCACCTGTCTCCTCCCGGCAACATGCCAGCCCAGTATTTACGTCCCCGAAAACCTCCTCAGTAACACATTCTACACGTGTGATCTGTTCCGTGCTAGCCGGTATCCACAGGCCCGACGTAGGTTTGTATGGCGATCAACCACAAACATTTTGCACATATTTTTGTACGGTGATTCCTACGATGTATATCAGAGAAGTTTTTACTCATTTGTAATTTATTGTACAGTTTTAATAAACATTGTTATAAATCTTAGAATAGCAATGTTCTCCTCCTCAGAAGGTATTAAAGTCTGGCTATGTTAGCCACTCCTGTGTTCTGTGTGCATTCTGAAGGATAATATCGCTTTCCACACCAAGAAGGGAACTCGGGCCTCCTGCCCACTGGGGAGGGCCAGCAGGCATCTCATCTGTGGGCTCCTCTGAACCCACGCTCGCCCCAGGCTAACAGTCAAACTCCACTGGGCCCCAGGCACGCATTCAGCACTTCAAGTCTGGACAGCGCCAGCTCCGCAGGTAGGGGTGGATTAGGGGGTGCGTGGTGGAGTGGGATGGGGTGGGAGGCAGGGTGAGCACTAGGCCCAGGTCTGCCCAGTCCACACGCAGCACCCACATCTCTCATCAGGAGACTCTGGGATCGCTGTCCCTTCCCCGCTCCCGCCAGGGCCACAAGCTGGCTGCGGGAACTCACGGAGCCTCTGCCGGTGCCTGGGCGCAGGCAGCCCCTGGTCCCCAAGTTTGGCCGTGTCTTCCACTGCATGGAGGACGCCTTTGAGAACAAGATGCTGCAGCTGGAAGTGCTGGGTGGTGGCCGCCAAGCCCTGGAGCCGGAGAGCCCTACAGAGGCCACACGGTGACTCGGTGGCTCGGAGGGACCCGGAAAGCCAGGAGAAGGTGGTCCAGAGGCAGGCAGAGGCCGCGGGCGACGAGGCCAGTGCGAGGGGACATGGGCCCAGACACCTAGGGCCGCATACCCACGTTGGGAGGCTGCTGGGCATGGGCCCAGAGCGCACCCTCTTCCCCTCACCTTCAGCTCCTCCCGGGAGGACTTGAGGGCTGGAGGCCTGGCCTCTCTCTACCTGACTGGCCTTCTCTGGTTTGCGTTTCCTACCCTCCCTCTCCACCCCAGCCCCTCCGGGCCTCGGCCCCTCACACTCCGGAGGGTCCTGGGCTCTGGGTAGCTGTCTGTTTCTCCGTGTGTCTCTCAGTCTCGCTGTCTCTTTCCGTCTTTCTGTGTCCGTGTGTCTCTCCAACATGCTTCCCCCCCCTCCCCCCTCCCCCCGGCCCTAAACTTCGTGCGCTGGCCCTGCAGCAGCCTCGCTGGGAGGTGTCTCCACCGCCCGCCCCATCCTGGGCCAGTGTTCAGCCCAGCGCTCCGACCCCGGCCAGGTTATCCTGAAGGAGTGGGCTTCGGCCAGACACTTCCTGACCGGGGTGTTCTGGGCCTGAACTGGAGATCGGGTTCCAGCCCTGCGGCCTTGGGTGCCTCAGGTCACCAGGGAGCTGGCGGCTGGCCCTTGGCGGTCCTGGCAGGACGTGGACTGATCTCTGCCACCTCCTTGGGCAGGGGAGGGGGGATGGGAAGGTGGGGGGTGGGGCAGACTTCAAACACGGACCTGCATCTGCTGCAATCCTGTCCCCTCTGCGCCCAGCGCGTCCGCGCCTGCGCGGGCTGGTCCTGGGGTCGGTGCTGGGCCTGGGGCCGGGCGGTTGGGGGACACGAAGGAGGGACCTGAGCCCGGAGGGGGCGGGGCCTGGCCGTGGGCGGGGCCTGGCCGTGGGCGGGGCCAGGGAGGGAGCTGCGCGGCGGGCTGGCTTCCACTCCGACACCCACCGGGCGCCCCCACCCCTGTCCGCCGGCACCTGCCCCGCCCGGCGCGAGCGGCCCCAGCCCGGCAGCCCCGCCGCCCCGCTCAGGAGGAGGATGTCCTTCCAGGGCAAGAAGAGCATCCCCCGGATCACGGTGAGCCCCGCCGCGCCTCTGCCGCCGCCGGGCGGGGCTCGGCCTCCGGGCCGGTGCACCTTCCCGCCGGGCCAGGCCCTGGCTCCCGGGCCCAGCCCCCACCCCTGCCCGGCGGGCCGAGGACTCCAAGCGCCGGGCGCCCGGCCCAGGCCCCGCCGCTTCCCGGATCTCCGCGCCCGGGGCCGAGGGGTCGCTTTCCCCGTCCCCGCCGAGGCCGGCCCGGCCCGGCGAGGCGGCGGCTAAGGCTTCGGAGCTGGATGGACGCGCCCTTTGTTGGCGCCGCCGGCGGGCCCGGGGCGCGGAGATGCGCGGGGATGCGGCCTGCGCGCCTAGGCCAACCCCCCTCCCAGCCCCCCAACCTTCCTGCCCCCTCTCCCAGCCCCCCAACCTTCCTGCCCCCCGTCCCAGCCCCCCCAACCTTCCTGCCCCCCGTCCCAGCCCCCCCAACCTTCCTGCCCCCCCGTCCCAGCCCCCCCAACCTTCCTGCCCCCTCTCCCAGCCCCCCCAACCTTCCTGCCCCCCTTCCAGCCCCCCTAACCTTCCTGCCCCCTCTCCCAGCCCCCCCAACCTTCCTGCCCCCCCCCCCCCAAACCCTCCTGACTCTCCGGCGCCCGAGCTCTGGTTCCCAGACAAAGCAGCCCCGCTCGGCCCAGAGCCCCTGGCCCAAACCCCTCAGGGTTCCGGGGTTCGGAGACACCGAGGAAAGCGAGCTCATTAGCTGCCCAGAGGCACCCCAGCCCTGGGGAGAAGAGACCCCCACAGACATTACACCCTGGGTGCGGGAGGTCAGACCTCCACCCCTGGCTGCCCCAGACAAAGCCACCGCTCCAGGAGCCCGTGGAGGGAGGGGGGAGGCAGGGAGGGAGGGAGAGGGAGAAAGAGGGGAAGAGGGGAGGGAGGGTGACGGACGCCTGGGCCCCAGCTGGATGATGACGGCAGGAGGGCCCTAGGGCTGGAGGAGTTTCAGAGTTTCGGACCCAACTCTGGACTTGGCCTCAGTGGGAGGGTGGCGGGGTCTCATTTCCTGAGATTCTAGGGGGAAGGTTCCTGCCTGTGGCTGGTTGGCTGGAGGGGGGGGAGGGGGGAGGGAGAGGGATGGAGGATGGAGAGGGAGGGGCAGGAGGACCCCTCCCTTCTGCCCCCCTCCTGAGCATGGCCGCCCATCTCACCTGCTTGGTTCCAAACCCAGTCATTTCCCAGAGTCCAGGTCCAAACACCCGAAAGCCGCGTGTGGGGTGTGGGGAGTGGGGTGTGGGGTAAGAGGGGACCCCGAGCACAAGTCTCTTCCTCACTGGGGGAGGGTGATGTGTGGGTTTCACACCACTTTCCAAAGCATGGACTGTTAGAAAGAGTGTTTCAGCCATTAAGATGGAAGATCACTCTTAGCTCGGGGCTGTATGAGGAGGGCTCTGCTCTGGTGGGGGCAGTGTGTCAGCCCTTTCAGAGACTAGGCTGCTGGCTCTACTTTAACCCGTTAGGTACAAGCACGGAGGTGTCAGTAAGAAGAGAGAGTAAGTAATACCGCTCTTAAGTAAAGTGTTATTTAATGGTAGGTCCTAGCGTTCCCACTGACCACACAGCCATGGTTGGTCCTCTCGGCATCAGGCTGACGGAGCCCTGGCCAGGCCTCTAGGTGGGCACCGGGTCAGGCCTGCCATGAAGTGCGCAACTTTCCCACGGGGCCAGTCATAGAGAGCCTGGAGGAAAGCGGTGCAAACTCGGACCCTCATCTGCATCGGTTTACACTCGGCTCTTCGATATTCTCCCCGAGGCCAGACCATCATCCCGGCAGCCCCCACGCCACACTCTCTCCCAGCATTGGGGGGGGGGGGGTGCTTAGAAGGGCTTGTGGCTGCTGAACAATGGACCAGTCCCTGCCCGTGCCCCAGCTCTGCGCTGTGGGCGGAGCCACGGAGAGCTGGCCCTGCTCCCTGACCCTTAGGTCACCCACGTGGGATGCCTCCAGGCAGCACCGGCACCGACGGTCACCCCGATGCCTTCCTGGCCCTTCACCTCCGTGGCTTCTCCCTCCGTCAGCAGCCCTTCTGGGGTCCATTTCTCACCCTGTCCAAGGCCCCTCCTCTCACCTGGACAACCTCCAAGCCACCCAAGCAACGGTCCTGTCTCCATCGTTAGACGCCAGGTTCCGCGTTCTGTGACCTCTTGCAAACATCCCTTACCATGCTCAAATCCTGCTGAGGGTCACCCCCCCTCTCCCCTCCCTCAGGAGTCTCCAGCCCCCAGCTTTTGCTTGGGTTTACATTAACTCAAGCTCTTTCCAGCTTCAGGGCCTTGGCCTGGGCTGGGCTGCCTCCCGCTTCAGCCCCTCAGACAGGCCTCTCCTCCCCGAAGCAGCCCTGTCTCCTCCCCCATCATCCATCATGCCCTCCTCTTTGTCTCCTTGTGTTTGTCACAGTCTGATGGCCTTGCATGTGATTTCACCGAGGCCCTGGGGGGGAGGGGAAGGGACGGAAAAAGGGGGACAGACCTTCCGGGCCAGCGCGGACATGGTGGGACTTTGCTCACCTCTGACCCCAGCTGGGTATTGAGTTAGATGGAAAACTTGAAGATGTAAATAGAACCCCTTCCATCGCGACACTCACGCTCACTAACGTGGGCTTTTTGTTGACACCGTGAGAAGCCAGTTCCCCTGTTCATCCTTTGCCTTTGGGAGGAGAGCAGGCTGACCATCAGTGGGGTGCAGAGGGGAGGCTGAGTGAGGGCCTGTGTGTGTGTGTGGGTGTGGGGAGGGCTCTGCAGAGTAGGAGGGGGCTGGGTGGGTGCAGGGCCCTAAGGAATGGGTGAGGGTGCCTTTGACTGCAGCAGCCTCTGCCCTATTCTTTCGGGTGGTAGATGCTGCTGGCTTTCCTGCTGGGTTTTACGTGCACAGATTGCGCGCGGATGTTTCAGTGGTAAATCCAGAGGGAGAGGTTGTACTAACCATGGTGGGTAACTCGGTTTGAATACAATGTACTCATTTTGTTTGTATTTGTTTGTTTGCTATAGAGCGATCGCCTTCTGATCAAAGGTGGGAAGGTGGTGAACGATGACCAGTCCTTTTACGCTGATCTGTACGTGGAGGACGGTGTGATAAAGTAAGTTTCTGCCAGGAGTGCCTTTGCAGCCACAGAGTGCCTGACGGTGCGTGACCCAGGACGCACTGTCTTGTGAAATCACATCAGTATGTTTTCTTTTCCGAAACCTCTTCCCCTGCAAGCAGCCCCAGCCCAGGCCTTGAGTAACTAATCTCACTGCCAGGTCTCGGAAAACAGGTCTATGGCATCCACGTTTCTTGCACCATCACAGCCTCGGTACGATTTGGGGCTCACAGCAGGTGCTTAATGAGTACGTACTGACCATTAGCTTCTCTGCTTCTGTGTAAGCATCTCCAGCCACTAGGGCAAGTGGGCGTCTCAGTGGACACCACAAGGGCCGTGATGAGCACACGGGGCTAGATCTCCACGCCAGCTGTGCTCTTACAGTCTCCGGAGTGCAGCGGAGCCTCGGCCGTGTGGCCCTCTTCCTCGGGACAGGAGCCCAAGCTCACGTGTCCCAGCTCCACCGCCTTGTCAGGCAGCCCAGGCACGCTCTGACCTGGGCTCTTTCTGACCAGCGGCATCTCTCTCTGCTGCTTTCAGACAAATTGGAGAAAACCTCATCGTCCCTGGGGGCATCCGCACCATCGATGCCCACGGCCTGCTGGTCCTTCCAGGAGGGGTGGATGTCCACACGAGGCTGCAGATGCCTGCCCTGGGCATGGCCCCGGCTGACGACTTCTGCCAGGGCACCAAGGCAGCCCTCGCGGGAGGGACCACCATGATATGTGAGTGTCCCCGGTCCGGGCAGCGTCCGTGCGCCACCTCGGAGCTCTGGCCGGGTGTGTGTGTGTTTCAGGAAGCGTCTTTCTTTTTTTTTTTTTTTTTTTTTTTTTTAATAATGTGTTCTTCATTTGTGGATATGCTGTTGTTTTTTTGTTTTTATTTTTTTTTATTTTAAATTTTATTTTATTGATTTTGTACAGAGAGGAAGGAAGAGAGATAGAGAGTCAGAAACATCGATGAGAGAGAGTCATCGATCAGCTGCCTCTTGCACACCCCCTACTGGGGATATGCCCGCAACCAAGGTACATGCCCTTGACCGGAATCGAACCCGGGACCTTTCAGTCCCCAAGCCGACGCTCTATCCATTGAGCCAAACCGGTCCCGGCAGGAAGCGTCTTTCGTGCTGGTTTTTTCTCAGTCCTGATTGTCCTCTCCCATATCCTGATCTACAAAGTCCTGGGGTGCCTTCCCTCGTCCTGTCTGTTTCTCATGCTGGTCATCCTGCCAGGCCAGCTCCGGGGATCTCCTCAGAGTCCATGGGAGCACATGGATGAATGCTCAGTTATTTGTTATTTCCTGGGAAGCAGGCGGCTGGTGGAGGACCAGGTTTGGGAAACTCCGATGCTTTGAACAAGCGAGGGGTTATGTTACCTGAAATGTCAGATGGGTTTGCGTGTCAACCTCACCCTGCAAGCTCCTGCCTATGTCAAGAAGAATTAAAAACAGGTGCTGTGTTTTTAGGAAAAAAAGGACTTTTTCTTAAAAAAAAATTATTGATTTTAGGAAGGGAGAGGGAGAGATAGATAGAAACATCAATGACGAGAGAGAATCGTTGATCGGCTGCCTTCTGCATGCCCCCTTTGGGGGATGGAGCCTGCAACCCTGAATGTGCCCTTGGCTGGAGTTGAACCTGGGAACCTTCCTCCTCAGGCTGATGCTCTATCCACTGAGCCAAACCAGCTAGGGCACTGTTACTCTCTTAGTGACCACCAGAGTACGGTTTCTCTAAGCTGGCTCTGTGCAGCACTGTCCTGGCGGGCTGCAGCTCATTTGCTGTCCTCACAAAACCCTCTGAGCTCTTGTGCCAGCTGGTGGGGTCTTCCCACTCTCCGCAAGCTCAGGAGCAGGCCCAGACAGCAGGCCCAGCCCCTCCTCTCGCAGCCTTGAATGCCGAGGGCAGCTGTGCCTGCCATGCCGGGTCTCACAACCAGGTTGGCCCCTGGCTCCATCATGTTCAGCTGTGTGGCCTCAGGTCACAGCCGGCTTTTATTGGTCACACTTGCTCGATCTGTGAGGCAAGAGGAGGAGGAAGCGAGCACATAGGTGCTTTGTGGCGCCTGGTGCACGGGAAACGCTCTGTGACCTCTGCCAGGGAAGGCCGCGCTGAGGACTGGGGGCTACGTCACAAGTGACAGCCACTGTCAGAGCCATGGCTTGGTTTGATTCACTCAGCCAAGAAGGGGAAAACCCCATGATGGTCCATCCCTCTGTTAGATGGGCTCAGAAGACGGGTCGTTTCAGGCCATTGCTCATGCCGGTCATTGGTGGCCCCGGCCAGCCAGGACACCTCCGTGGTTGACGTCACCTGCCCATGCCAATGCCAAGGCTGTGAGGTGTGGCTGAGAGGAGGGGGAGATGCTGTAGGCGCGGGGCTGGCTCTGCTGAGCCATCTGCTTCCTCCGCCTGCCAGCCCCAGCCCGGAGCGGTGCACGGCCCGGGCAGCCATTCCCGCAGGGTCCTGGCTTCTCCATCTGAGCTGTGGGAGCACAGGAGCCCCTATAAGGGCTGTGCTGGAGGGAGGCACAGCACCTGCCAGGACCCCTGGGGTGGTGCCTTCCTGTTGGCCACTGCACTCCCAGCCCTTCCCTCACCTAGGGGCGGCTGTGAGCAGGGTTTGGACCTTGGCGGTGAGGTTGGCAGGTGAGAGGATGACAGAGGATGGTGGGATGGGTGGCAGTGGTCTGTGCCGTCTGGAAGGTTCATGCAAGCCAGCTCCATGCCGCTGTCCTGGGCAGGCGTCCAGGTCCAGCACCGAGGACAGCGGCGCCTCCCTTCCCGCCTCTAGGTGCGCTTGTGCTGGAGGGTAAGGCCCCTGGCTGCCACTCAGGCTCTTGAGCTGTGAGGTGTGCGTGGGGGAGGGTGTTGGGGGGGGCCGAGGTGGGTTGTCTCTCGGCTCAGAGGGAGGCTGAGGCAATGGGTCGATGCCTCTCTGGACAGAACTGATGGGCAGTTTACAGCAGGGACAGCCCCTGTTAAGGTGCCCGTGGCATCTCCTATGTTGTTCCTGATCTCTTGTTTACATGACTCCTTGGAGAGCGAGGTCATTCCCGTTCCCATGCTGGGGGCTCGGCTGACTGCGCTGCCCCCACAGTGGACCACGTGTTCCCCGACGTGGGCGTGAGCCTGCTGGCAGCTTACGAGCAGTGGCGGGAGCGGGCGGACGCCGGGGCCTGCTGCGACTACTCCCTGCACGTGGACATCCCCCGCTGGCACGAGAGCATCCGGGAGGAGCTGGAGGCCCTGGTCAAGGACAAGGGTGAGTGCCCGCAGGGCTGAGGGTGGCTGGCTGGCAGGCGGGCAGACAGGTGCCTGGGCGTCCCTGGTCTCGGTGGGAAGCCCCCGCCCCAGGCCGGCCCCTCTGTGCTGGGCTCTACACCCGTCTGACCCCAGGGCAGGCGGCCAGGAGTTGGAGGAAGTTGGACAAGAGTCACTCGAAGGGTCTGTTCTCCCAGAGGATCCAGACTAGGGTCCTCCGCCTCCCAGGTCTGAGGGACATACCTTGTAACTGTCCTCGTTACAGGGGACCCAGCTGTCACCACAGCTCCCTGGTCTCGTGGCCATGGGTGGAGGAAGCGTGGTATTTGTTTTGCTGGCAAGTTAAGACCCGGTTAGAAGGAGGAGGTGTTTGCACCTCCAGTGCTCTGTGCTGCCCTGCTGCTGCTGATGGGCCAGTCCATCATCCAGGGCTAAGTATATTTGTTTTTTAAATTTTTTATTACATTTTTTAGTTTACTGATTTTTTTTTTTAGAGAGAGAGGGGAAGGGAAAGTAAGAGAGAGAGAGAGACGCACCGATGTGAAAGCAGAACATGGATCAGCTGCCTCTGCAAATGCCCCAATGGGGCATGAACCCACAACCTGGGCGTGCACCCTGACAGGGAATGGAACCCTCCACCTTTTGGTGCAAAGGATGATGTCCAACCAACTGAGCAAGGGTTAAGCTTTTTTATTGAAAGTCTTGAAACTGAAACCATATCAAGGTTTCATAGTGGATTTGACAAAAACGAGACGGAGTTAGAGAGGGGGACGGGGCCCAGAGGGGCATTCGTGAGGGGTTTCTTCTGTGTTTGCCCCTGGGGAGCCTTGGCCCTGATCCCAGGGCTGAGCGGCAGGTAAGGGGTGCTGGCAGACCCCGTCCTTCATCACCACTTGTCGGTAAGTGTGTGGCCTGGTGCCCCAGGGCTGCCATGCCAGCCGGGGAGACGGCCATGGAGAGGCACCATCCCACCCGGCACCTCTGGGGACGGGGAGGCGGGGAGGCTGAGCATCTCGCCCCTTCCTGCCTGTCCTCCAGGTGTGAACTCCTTCCTGGTCTTCATGGCGTACAAGGACAGGTGCCAGTGCACTGACGGCCAGGTAGGGCCGGTGCCCAGAGGAGGGGCGAGCGGGCGGGTGTCTCTCGGGCTGCTGCCGGGAGAGACGCGGCCCCTTACGGCTCGGGCGCCTCTCCTCGCAGATGTACGAGATCTTCAGCATTATCCGGGACCTGGGAGCCCTGGCCCAGGTGCACGCGGAGAACGGGGACATCGTGGAGGAGGTGCGAGCCGGGCGGCCTGGGCGAGGCGAGGGGTGAGGGCGAGGGGGACTCCTGGAGGCCAGGATGCGAGCGTTTAATCCCACCGACCCCGAGGGAGGGGGGATAGTAAGCGTGTTCAGTAAGTGGTTTGCCCAGGTCAAAGGTCAAGCGAGCAGGGAGTGAGGGGAACTTTTTGCTGCAATAGATTTTTCCGCGGTCATCACACTTATCGAAAGTTCTTCAAACCAAAACGTTGCTTTGTTGGGGGCACTGAGACTGGGGGCTCGTGCCTCCCGGCTCCAGGGATGGAGGCCACTCAGGGCGCTGGCTTTGTTTTCCTTCTGACCAGTGGGCACCCAGGTGGGGCCAGTGCCTGTCCTTCAGTCACACCCCAGGTGGGGTCCAGGGGCTGTGAGGTGGGCGCCCACCACCTCTGCGCCCGGCACTTGATGTTTTTCTCCTCACACCTTTGGTGCCCCCTCTGGTGCAGGTGCATCAGGGTACCTGGGAGGTTCAGGGGGGCCTCCTATAGGGCTTGGGGGGTCTGCCCACCCTGCTGTACAGAGCCCCCAGTGCACACCCAGCTTGGCAGGCAAGCCTGTGGGGTCGTCTCGGACCCGACGCCAGGAGCCCTGTGACCTTGGGCGAGTCCCTTGCCCTCTCCAAGCCCCGTTCCCCCGCCTTAGTGCAGGGAGCGGCAGCCACCCCTTGCCTGCTCTGAGGTCTCCGCGGTGGTGATGCTGGGGGCCCGGGCTCAGCCTCAGCCAGCGGTTGCCCTGGGAGGTGGCCCGCACACCCTGTGGTGGGGGCCCTGGCGGCCTGGGCGGGAACGTGGCATCCGGTTGGTTTCTGTAGGAGCAGAAGCGGCTGCTGGAGCTCGGCATCACCGGCCCCGAGGGCCACGTGCTCAGCCATCCCGACGAGGTAGGCGCTGCGCCCGCTGTGTGCACCCTGGCACTGACTGTGCCCAGATGCCGCCTTCCTCTAGGGGTGGGTCTGGGTCCATGGCCTGGGCAGGGCCGTGGCCACGCTGTCCTCACCTGTCCCCCAACCAGGCACATGTCCCCTGTGACCACTGGTCACCCAAGCCCGGCACTCAACGTTGAGAGGTGGCATGGTCAGGGCCTGGGGACTATGTGGGTCACCCTGATCCTGGGCACCGAGCCCCAAGCTGGCATCCTCATCCACCCACGGGTGCCCTCTCTGGGCCCAGTACCTGTGTGTGACAGTGGACATGCCTTGTGACCTTGAGTGAGTCCTTCCCAGGTGCCCCAGCATGGCCCTGGGGGTCAGCGTGGTCAGGATTCCCCAGGCCCTCCCGTGGCCTGAGCACTGCTGTCCCCAGGTGGAGGCCGAGGCCGTGTACCGAGCCGTCACCATCGCCAAGCAGGCCAACTGCCCCCTGTACGTCACCAAGGTGATGAGCAAGGTTGCGGCTGACGTGGTGGCCCGAGCCAAGCGCAGGGGTGAGTCCCGGGCCTGGACCCCAGGCTGGTGAGGGTCTGGGGGGTCAGGGGTCATCTGCCCCACCCCCCGGGAACTTGGCTGGTTTCACAGAGGCTCGAGTAAGGCAGGTATGACTGAGAAGCAGCCTGCCGCCCAGCCTGGCCCCCTCGTTGGGGGCCTCACCCCGGGGGCTGCAGGGGTGGGCCGTGTAGCCTGAGGGGGAGCAGCAGCTGCTCACCAGGGGCCTTAAGGCAAACGGAGGGGCCTATGGAGTCACAGGGTCTGTATGTGATGGTGGACATGCCCTGTGACCTTGACTGGTCCCTTCCCAGGGGCTCCAGGATGGTCAGGGTTCCCCATGGAAACGTGCTGTGAGGGTGAGAGGGAGCTGGCTTTAGCTGACCCCACCTGGAGCCCCACATTACTGTTCGCTGGCACCTCCATGCATCCAGGAGCTGGGGTGCATCCTGAAAGCTGGGGTGCTCTCTGCCCACAGAGCACCCCTGAGCTAGAGGCAGCGGGTAAATAAGAAAAACGTGTATCTGCCCGTGCAGACCAGCAGGGGGCGAGCAGCAGGTAGTAGACAAAGTCCAATGGAGTTCCTGGCAGGCCTGGCCCCCTGCCTGCCCGGTGCAGGTGCCCCAGAGGAGAGGGACAACCTGTGCAGGGTCAGGAAACCGAGGGGCAGTGCCCAGGCCTCCACCCCGCTTGGGTCCTGGGGGCATGCAGGCAGGGGGTGCCTCTCACGGGCCTCACTGCAGGGGCGGTCGTGTTTGGGGAGCCCCTCACCGCCAGCCTGGGCACTGACGGCTCGCATTACTGGAGCAAGAACTGGGCAAAGGCCGCGGCCTTCGTCACCTCCCCGCCCATCAACCCGGACCCCAGCACCGCAGACCACCTCACCTCCCTGCTGGCCAGGTAAGGAGATGCTCGGGGTGGCCCAGGTGGGCCTGTGTGCACGGCTCGGCCTGCTGGCAGCTCCAGGCTCCTCCCACACAAACCCTGGGCCGCACCAGAGCACCCACCCTGATTGCCCCGGACCCACCCCCACACTGAGGCGCAGCTCTGCCCAGCGCTGCCTCACAGATTACCTCTGGCCCTGGGGGTGCGCTGGGCCACGTGGGGGTGAAGCCGAGCGGCCTTGGCTGGTTCAGGAGGGCCAGGCCCCTCGGGGCTCCCTGACTCGCTTGTCCTCAGCGGGGACCTCCAGGTGACGGGCAGTGCCCACTGCACCTTCACCACTGCCCAGAAGGCCGTCGGCAAAGACAACTTCACCCTCATCCCCGAGGGCACCAACGGCGTGGAGGAGCGCATGGCGGTGGTCTGGGAGAAGTGCGTGGTGAGTCCGGGCCTGGGCCGTGCCCCCCACCGGAGCCGCCGCCTGGCATCCCTCAGGGTGGGAAGCACAGCCAGGAAGCACTGTGAGGAATGAGCCGGGTGTGGGCCCCAGTGTGTCCTTCTCCCGCCCCCACCCAGGGCTCCTCAGACATCAGTTGGTCCCCCGGAGGGCCCTCCCCTCCGAGTCTCATGTCACATCTGCAGGAGCTGAGGGCGGTGTGACCTTCCCACGGGTGGTATTCTCTGCGGTGCTGGTGATCTCCCGGCCTGCCTGCGATCCCAGACTCCCGCCTCACTCAGAAGGCTCTGCCGGGCATCCTGTGCCCTCCGCCCCCTAACCCCGGCCTTCCCTGGACTGAAGCCAAGTCCTGGCTCCCAGGCCTCCTGGCCACACGGGGAAACAGCTTGTCACCACTGAGTGGGCCCGGGGACCAGGCTTGGGGCGCAGGAAGGGGGGAGAGCCCTGGCTGAGATGGACCGATCAGCGCCCTGGGAGCTGGTGCTGCTCGCTGCCCTGGGGGGCGGGGCCTTGGGCCCGCGAAGCCCCAGACCTCCCAGCTCCTCCTCTCGCCTCCCAGGCCTCGGGGAAAATGGACGAGAACGAGTTCGTGGCTGTGACCAGCACAAACGCAGCCAAAATCTTCAATTTTTACCCGAGGAAGGGGCGAGTGGCCGTGGGCTCCGATGCCGATCTGGTGATATGGAACCCCAAGGCCACGAAGATCATCTCTGCCAAGAGCCACAACCTGGTGAGCGAAGCGAGGTCCCTGAGTCGGGGTCAGGGTGGGGTCGGGGCCTGGCAGCCTTCCCGGGGCTCCAGAGCGGCCTTGGGGGCTGCTCTGCCCACCTCAGCTGGCACGCCTGTCTCGAGATGGCTGCAGAGCATCACGTGCCTGCCCACCTGGAGGGCGGTCACCTAGGGCAGGCTCTCCCATGTGCTCTTTGTCCTAATGAGAAATGGGGCTCAGAGGTGTGGCTGGTTCCTGCTGGTTCTGGCCCCACCAAGGTGGCTGCCTCCCATCAGAGGTCAAGCACGGGCACAGCCCTCCTCCCACCCCCCTCGCCCTCCCCGGGGCTGGCAGCCCGAGGGGTGTCCTGGGGGTGGTGCTGGACTCCCGCCCTGTCTCCCCAGAACGTGGAGTACAACATTTTCGAAGGCGTGGAGTGCCGGGGCGCCCCCTCGGTGGTCATCAGCCAGGGCCGGGTGGTCCTGGAGGACGGGCACCTGTACGTCACCCCGGGCGCCGGCCGCTTCATCCCTCGGAAGACCTTCCCGGACTTTGTCTACAAGCGGATCAAGGCGCGCAACAGGGTAAGGCCTGGGCCGGCGTGCACGGCGAGCATTCTCGGACCTTCCACGCACCCCAGCGGTTTCTGCTCCGGATCAGCCCTGACCCCCCGCTGCCCAGCAGGACAGGCCTGCTCCGGGGGCGGGTGGGTTCCAGGGGTGGCCCTGTGAGCGTTTATTTCCCAAGTGACGCGAGTCTGTGCAGAGCCCGGACAGAGGGAAATGGTCATGCGTGGCACCTCCCCGAGCAAACTGCTGTGGACACAGAAGCAGGGCCTCCAGGGCAGAGGTGCACGCGGATCAGAGTAGGGCGTGGGCTTTCCACAGCGGCTCTTGTGAACTCGGATGTCAGGAGCACTTTTCCCTGTCTTTACCTTCACTTCCCATAACCCTGCGTCTGATGGCTGCACCAGGTATCGGCCTAGGTGATTGCTGTATGCACACACGTGCTCACACATGAACATGCATGCACACAGGCACACTCAAAGGATGCTTGAGCTGATTGAGCTGCCTGGAGCCGTCCCCTGGGGAGGGGTGTGGTGTCTGTTCTCCCTCAGGCTGTCAGGACCGGGAAACTGCTCCCTGACCCTGACAGGAACAAGTCGAGTGGCCAGGCTCTCGGCAGGAGCCCCTGCCCTCAGCCCCCTCACGCCTGGCTCCCTTGACCTGCAGCTGGCAGAGATTCATGGCGTGCCCCGAGGCCTCTACGATGGGCCAGTCCACGAGGTGATGGTGCCCTCGAAGCCTGGGGGTGGCTCCCAGGCCCGTGCGTCCTGCCCGGGCAAGATCTCAGTGACCCCCGTGCGGAACTTGCACCAGTCGGGGTTCAGCTTGTCTGGTGAGTTGAGCCTGTGTCTGTGGGTGAAGGCCATGGCCCTGCGCGGGGCCGGGGGAGTGAGGCCCACCTGGACGCCCCTTCCGCCCTAGGACCTGCCCTGGGGCTGTCACTCTGAGCCCAGGGCGAGCGAGGGATGCCCAGTCTTACGGGACCCCAGTGCCAGGTGGAGTCCAGCCCAGGCAGCCTCTGCCTCCTGCCGTGGTGTGTGAGGCACACGAGGAAGGGTCTTCAGAGACATGGCTGTGGTCAGGGACCTCCCAGCATGCTGTGCGACAGAACCTTCCAGAAGCACTGGGCCCAGGTTCTCCCTGCGAGCCAGAGCCAGAGCCCTCCCTTTCCAGCCCTTGGGTGGGGCGCACCTGCCCCTGATGACTGGTCTGGTGCTCCCTCTTGGAAGGTGATGGCAATCCCTGCCCACCTCCTGGGGACGCAGGGCAGGGAAGGCCCCCTGTGAAGTCTATGTCATCTTAAAAGCTGGGGACAGGCCTCTCCCACCTCGGAGACTGTGGGCAGGGCAGCCTGAGACCCGCTGGAGGGACGGGGCAGGACTGGCTTCTGCTCCAGGCAGCCTTCCCAGCGGGTGGGCCTTGACCTCCAGGCCCCTGCCTGCTGGCCTTGCTGTCCTAGGCATCCGAGGCCTCAGTGACAGGAGCACCTGCCGTCTGGGGGGCATCAGGGACCCTCTGGGGCGGGCGGTGCTCTGCAGTCCTGGCCTTTGCACGTGGCCCTGCCTGCGACCTCTCCCCATGCCCCGCCCTTTCTGCAGGATCTCAGGCAGATGACCACATTGCCAGACGCACAGCCCAGAAGATCATGGCGCCCCCTGGTGGACGATCCAACATCACCTCGCTGTCCTAGACCGCTCTCCGGGCTCAGGGTGTGGGGCTTCCTCTCCATGTTAGCTTTCCCTCTGTTGACCTGACTTTGAAAGGTGCTTGGTCTTCCCTTCCCCTCCCCAGACACTCCTTTTGGGGGTCCCAGGCCCTGTTATGAGGGCTCGATCTGGGGAGGTGCCACTGCCAGGGACAGCTCAGGTTCCCACTTACCTGGGTGCTAGGTGCCTCCTGAAGGCAGGACTGTGGGAACCCCCGGGCCTCACAATACACACAGGCCAAGGGTTTGGGGTTTGCCCCTGCTCGGCTCTGCCGCCTGCCTCCCTGCGGAGCTGTCTGTGCCCAGGCTCCCGGCCCCCGGCCCCGTCACAGCACAAGAGCAGCGCCCGCGAGCTGAGCCCCGCCGGGGCTGCTGAGCCTTCAGGGACCTGCTGGGAGTGGCTTCCAGCCGCGTTGTACACTCTTCCAAGGACCAACCTCGGCCTTCGTCGTCGCCCGTCGCCAGGGGAGTTAGGACCTTTAGCTAGGAGGCCCCGTCTTGTTGCCGACTGTGCGTCCGGTAGTGCGGTAGAACCGCAGCTTAGTGCGGTGAGGACTCTGTATCCAGGACTCTGCATGCCACCCGCCCGGCCACAGCACTGCCACCAGTCCGATGGGCACTGGCTCAATTAAAGGCGTCTGGGTGGGAAGCTGCCCCGACTTCTCTGACCCCTGCACCATCCCCGCGTGAGTGGGTTATGCGCCGCCACCCTCATCCCCCCATCCCGGACCCTCCTGCTAGCCCTAGCCTGGCATTGTGCCAGCTGTGAGGCTGGACCTCAGGACCACCCACAGGACACGCTGCTCAGCCTGCGCTGGGAAGGGGCAGGGCTGGGCCTGAGTGGTGGGTGGGGATGGATTCCCTCAGGAAAGGGGGCCTGGGGACCTGCTCCTGAGCCCTGGCCTGTGGGTCAGGGACAGCCAGAGGGCCGGAGGGCCAGGGGCAGACTGGGAGGCCCTCCACCCACATTCTGACCAGATGGGCCCACGCTCAAGCAGAAGGTTGGGGGGCTGCGTGGCTGTGAGCTGATGCCTCCAGCAAGCCACCAGGCCTGAGCATGATGCCCCCACCACAGTCACTCAGCCTGGGCCCCACCCCCCTCAAGGCAAAGCAGCCCAGGTTCCGATCCAAACCTGAGGCTAGTCTCAGGTTGGGCCGGTCCCCGCCCCTTAGCCTCTTTCTCTTAAAAACGGTTCTAGTTCTGTGCCCAGGTGAGGAATGCTCCCAGAAGGGGTGTCTTCCACCCCCTCAGTGCCCCCGCCCCCCCAGCAGGATGGTCATGGTCATGGCCATGGGGAAGACCAGCCGGGAGGTCAGGCTGGCCTGGGGCAGCCCCTGTCTGTCCTGGTCCCACCGAGTTTGGGGCTTCCTCTGGCAGAGTTTGGCCAGGCAGCCTCCCAGCTGCCTCCTGGGGCCCCACCGAGGCTGGCGTCCACTGCACCGCACCCCTCCCCGGGGAGAGGCTGGGTGACATGGAGCCAGGCACACGCCTCCGTGCCACATGCAAGGGGGACAGGCTTGCTGTCCCCCGGAATCTCAGAAGCTCACATACACTCACATGTTTATATCATACAAAACCCAGACCTCCCCTGCCTTGCCTCTGACATCACAGGTCCCCACCCAGAACTTTCTCTGGGGTCTGTCCCACCCACCGGGCAGCCTGCAGTGCCGCCCACCCCTGGACCCTGGCTTCCCCAGCGGTGACTGGCCCCGAGCCTCGCCTGGGCACATCAGCTGTGCTGACGGCAACCCCCGTACCCCAGCGAGTGGGGTGGCAGGACCCTTCTGCCCTGCCCACCTCCCCCTGACTCAGCTGGCTCAGCATGGATGGCTGGGGTCCTTGTCCTTCCACAGCCCGGCCCACTGCCCAGCAGGTGCCACCCCAGAGCAGTGAGAGTGGGGTGGGGAGGGCTCTGCCCAGCAGGAGCTGCCCGACTCCTGGACAAATGTCCCTGAACAGCACGACTACTCGGAAGGCACAGGACGTGGGGAACGCTGAATAGGTCTGTAATCCCCAGAGGTGAAAATATGCAGAAACACCACAGAACGTGCTGGAACAGTTTGTATTTATAAAACATCCTCATCTTCCCACCCATAGCCTCTCTCCGCACCCCCCCCCCCCCCGCACGTACAAGAACCCTGGGCCCCTCCCACGCTCTGGGTAGCAAGCTCCGGTGGGGCAGCCAACGGCAGGCCAGGCCTCCGGGCCTATGGACAGTCGAGAGGTGGTGAGAGACAAGGGCGCCTGACCACCACGCGGCCCAGCCCGTGTCCTGCCAGCGAGGGGTCGGAGGCCACCAGGACCACCATCACATAATCAGACTCTGGGTGGCAGCGCACTCCTTGTCCATCACCGACCATACTGACAGCCTCTTGTCACCGTGTCCCTCCAAGAGCCGATGGCAGCTCAGTGGTCAGGCTGTTCCCGTGGAAACAAACCGACCAGGACACGGCAGAGCCACCAGCCTGGGTCTGTGCTCGGACCAGCGGGCTGCTCAGTGGGAACGTTGAGCTTGGCCTGTCCCTCTGGTGCACTGAGTCCCAGTGCAGCCTGAGTGACCTCCCTGGGCCAGCGGCTCCTAGCTGCTCCCCGCCGAGGGGCAGATGGAGCCACACGTGGGCAGGGCGGGGCTCGCGTCCTCACCGTCCGCCAAGGCCTCGCCGTCCACATCCCCGGCCTCGGGAGCGGGCAGGGCCTCCCTGGTGGGGTCCTGGCTCCTCCTCAGCCTGGGAGGAAGCACAGGGAGGGGCTTTGTGCAGCCTCGCCAGCAGCCCAGGTCTAGCTGGCCTGAGCCCACCAGAACGTGTCCCTGCCTCAGGGGCCCCAGACATGCACCAGGTGTCCGGCGTGTCCTGGACAGGCTGGCCCAGCAGGGAGCTGGTGGCATTGTGTGCGGGTCAGAGGCCTGGCGGGTTGCAGGCACTCAGCCCAACAGCACCTCTGACTATGGGCCCTGGGGCTGGGAGCAGCAGGGGTGGGGAGTCAATTCACGTCCAGACAGAAGCTGAAAGGAGGCCCCGTTTAAGTGCAAGTCCTGGGGTTAGGGATTTTGGAGCAGGCTTTTCAAAGACAAGTTCCCTTCTTACCCTGACTCTGGCCTCCAGGGTGGTGGTCAGTGTCCTAAACCAGTGCCCAGCTGTCATCCTGGTCACTGAAGCAGGACAGAGCACCGACCCATCCTGCTCCCTTTCCTGGCCAGAGCTCAGAGCCACCTCCTCCAGGAAGCCCACCGTGCCTCACCCTGCCACTCCTTCCCCTGGGCTCAGAGCACTGGGCTTTATCCCTCACTGTGGAGGTGTCGCAGCTATTCCTGGCCTGTTGTGTCTCCCTGCCAGCCAGCCATGACCTCTCTGTCCCCAGTCCCTGACAGTCAGGGTGAGCTCAGTGAGTGCGTGACTGACTGAGGGGAGGCAGTGGATGTGCAGGAGCCAAGCCCTTGTCTGGGAAGTCCACTGAGTGTCTCCTAGGAGCTTCTGCCACTGGCCCCATTTCAGGACAAAGTTCTGGAGGAGCCCCTCCCACATGAGCCTGAACGCGCTCCCCCCCTTCTCTCAGGGCCAATGCTCAGACCCCCCAGGAGGATGGAGCCAAGTTTCCTGGGTTCAAGACCCGGGTGTCCCATTTTCTCCAAACTCCTCTTTGCCCCTATCACCTCCTCCCTCCCCTCCACACACACTCACTTTTCTCTGTTAAAAATCACAAAGTCTTGCTGGATCGCATCGAGGCAGTCCTGAAGGTAGTCATTCTCCTGTTAGTCAGAACGAGTGCTGGGTGTCACCAGGTTATCCCCTGCCTGTCTTATGGCTGCCCCTCTGGCTTTCATCCAAAGCCTGGACGATCCCCCGGCAGCAGAGCACCTGGGGTTCGCACCTCGCAGGCGACGCTTAGCCAGTAACCGAGGATTTCCTGTGTGGAATCCCAGCTCCTGCCTCAGGTGGACGCTGACATGGAAGGCAGTGTCCACGTGGCCAGACTGGGTGGGGAACTACACCTGGCGTGGCTCCCTCCCCTCCCCTCCCCCACTCCCTCCGGCCACTTCTCATTGGTGCACAAAGTCCCACCTCGGGGTCTGCTGTGAGAGGACTGCCTGAGGCGGTCACCACAGGGCAGCCCGCCCTGAGAAGCAGTCGGGGGACAGGCCTTGAGTGGGGTCCCGCACTGGCCAGATCAGTGAGGAGCCATCGCTGGTGCCGTGGGGAGGGGGAGGTGGGAGGGTGCAGACAGCTCTGGCGTTGGGGGCAGGTGGGGAGGGAGCAGTCACATGGCCATCGCTGGGCACTGGGGATGCACGTGCCAGCGCCAGGCTCAGGTCACGGTGAGAGCGGTGGGATTCCAGAGCAGCCGGACTGCCAGGCTGCGGAAGTTCCTGCACCAAAGCCGAGGCCCTGACAGGGAAGGCTCTGCGCTCAGTGGATACACCTGGGCGGGCCGGCTCAGTGGGTGCACGTGGGCACCTTGCTGCCTCTGCACAGGGGCCCTCCCCTGCTGGAGAGAGGTTCCCTCTAATCTCCAACGTGCCTGCACACAGGCAGGGCTGCAACCACGAGAGGCCTGGAAAGTCAGTATTCGCCCCTCCCGTTGTGCCTCTGCCTCCCCTCTGAGCCTCAGAACTACCCGTCTCTGGCAGCATGGCCGGAGGGGGGAGGTGCTGGGCCTGCCGCGCTGAGAGGTGCGGGGCATGGGTGGGAGGCTGTGGACAGGGTGAGGCACAGGCCATATGCTGGTACTGGGGTGTCTTGCTGTGAGGGCATCCCCCCAAGACTTTGGGGCTATTTCCTTGGCAAGAGCCCCTGGAGTGGGTTCTCATTCCACTCAAAGGAGGAAGTGAGGGCTCAGGGAAGGAAGTGAGGGCTCAGAGATGGAAGTGAGGTCTCAGAGAGGGAAGTGAGGGCTCAGAGAGGGAAGTGAGGGCTCAGAGAGGAAATGAGAGGCTGAAGGAGGGAAGTGAGGGGCTCAGAGGGGAAGCCAGAGGCTCAGAGGGGAAGCCAGGGGCTCAGAGAAGCTGCAGACTTGGGTGCAGAAGATGGGGCTGGGTTGGAAAAGGTCTCAGGACTCTGCAGGAGGTGATCCTGGCCGGGGTCTGTGGGGATGCTATGACATGATGGAGAGGACCTGCCCCCGGCCCCGCACTCACGGACTGGGGGCTGTCCCTGCTGCTGTCGCGGGACCGGTTCTTGGCCAGCCGCTTCTTCTTCTTGTGCAGGGGCCTGGACTCCAGGATCATCTCTTCCAGCTCGAAGGTGGGGTCGCAGTGCAGGCGGCCTTTCTGCGGAGGGACAGGGCGCCGGGCTCACCCACGGGTGCCACCAGCCACCCGGGAACCCCTGTCTGTCTGACTGTCGTGCAGCTTACGTTGGGCACAAAGCCCGGCTCCACCTTCTTCTTGCTCAGGTCGTCCCACAGCACGTTGGCCAGCGACGGGGTCTCCTTCATGTCCTGGAGGCTGGAGACACGGTGCCTGGGGTTCACAGTGAGGAGCTGGAACAAGGCCCACATCAGACGGTGCCCGGCCCGTGCCCCAGGAGCAGCTTGTCCAGGCCGGGGCACCGTGCAGGTCTCGCCAGAAAGGAAACTCAGAGTCTCAAGGGTCAGTCAAGCATCCTGGTCAGCGCAGTAAAGCGGCCAAGGGGACAATTCGGAATGCGGGTCTGGCTCAGCGCCTAGAGCCCAAGGAGGCAGAAGGCACATGGGGTCTGCGAGAGGTTCTGCTGAAATTCACCAGCAGGTGGCAGCCTTGGCCTGGCTAACTGCAGAGAACAGTAACTACCGCCATCACAGCCCCATGAGGCCCTAGGTTAGGGGTGTGTGTGTGTGTGTGTGGCCATGGCGTGTGTGTGTGTGTGTGTGTGTGTGTGTGTGTGTGTGTGTGTGTGTAGCCATGGCGGCTTCACCAGGCCTGGGGCAAGCAAGGATCACCACTCCCTACTAGCGCTTCTGGGGGCCAAGGTCCCACTGTGAACCACCTGGGCAAGTATGGGCAGAGTTCTACAGGGCGAAATCTAGGTTAAGAGGCTCCATTAGGGACTCAGAGAGGCCTCTAGCTGCCTGGCTACAACTCCAGGGTCAAAGGTCTCTGAGCAGGAGCCAGGGCCTGCCCAGGAGGACCCTGTAGGCCAGGGCTCGGGGCCTCACAAGTCCCGCACATCCTCCCACCCCTGATGCACCAGGGTCTTTAAAGTGAGGCTCTCCGAGGAGGCGCTGTGGGGCCCCACAGCCCAGCCCCTGCCCCGAGGGATGCACGCTGGTGGCAACACCATAGTCCCCACGTGCCGACAGGCTGAGGGCCCTGGGCTGCTACAGACACGCTCAGGCCTTGGAGGTGCAGGGACTCCCGGGCTCTTCAGTGCTTGCCCCCGGGGTGGCCAGGCCATTGGCAGCAGGCACTGGCTGTGCCTCCAAGAGAGGCGCAGGGGCAGAGGAGGCCAGAGTGCCGCTCGGCGGGCACCCGGTCCCCCACCCTCTCCCTCCAGCACGCACAACGCGTGACCCGCACCGGCTAACTTGCCCGCCTGCGTCTGTTTGGGCCTCTGTGAGACAGACTGAAGACCAGTGTCCCGGGACCAGCTGGGGAGGGTTACATTAGTCACCGCCGGCTACTATAGGACAGAGTCGGACGGACAGGGAGCCCGCCAGACGGACACGCCGGAACCAGATGCCCTCTCGAACCAGGGCTCCATGCCACGCCCCCTGTGCGCCTGGCGGGCCTGGGCTCCGGGAGGCTCACCTTCCGCAGCAGGGCCACCATCTCCTTGGACCAGGAGGGGACGTACTGGACACTCACGGTGCTGAACAGCTGCACCAGGGACTCCATGGTGTCGCTGGAGTGAATGTCGTAGGGCCTCTGGGCAGAGGAGGCAGCACTGTGCCTGTGCCTCACCGTGACCCAGAGCGCCCGGCAGTACCCACCCCCGTGCAGGCACGGCCTGAGCACGGCCCCTCCCGGGAGCAGCCAGGGGGAGAAGCAGGTGCCTGGGCGAGGGACTGGCCAGAGAGGCGCTGACCAGGCCTGAGGAAGCATGTCCTTCCCAGGGCCACATGGATGGGACCCAGAGGGCCAGGGGGAGCTGCCTTCCTCGGAGTGGGGTCCCTCGGAGTCCCTCAGTGGGGTTCCAGGGGATGGGGAAGGACAGTTCCAGGCCCGATGCCCAGAAGCCAGTGCACAGGCCTACCATCTGCCCTGGAAACCCCAGCGACTCCCTCCAGCACCCCCTCAGGCATTGTGTGCCCGCCCAGCGTGGTGGCCTCACGGACGCTGACGGAAAGGGAGCGCAGGTGTCCCTGAATGCCTGGGGTGGGGCAGCCTCTTCCCTCCCCAGGGCACCAGGGCCGCCCCTGGGGGTCACTGCCGGCCTGGGGCCGAGGACTCCATACCCATCCACGCAGCAGCTCGTAGGCCATCACCCCCACCGACCACCAGTCCACCTCGAAGGAGTAGCCGGTCCCACCGTTGACGAAAGATTGGAAGATCTCCGGAGCTTTCCAGAAAGGGAGGGAGAGGCTGAGCACGCTGACCCGGCCCCAGGGCTGCCACCGAAGCGCCCTCGGCTGTCATCCTTCCACGGACCACCCACGTCATCCACGGACCACCTGGTTCAAGTCCAGGTCCCACAGCCTGCGTGCGCGCCAGCTCAGCTCACTGTCCTACCCATGACCCTCTCCTGAGGCACTGTCTTCTGCATGGAGCAGACAGCTGCCTAGGCCTGTGGGGAAGGGAGCTGCCCACCAGCCACAGGGGAGTCGGCGATGCAGGTGGGTGGGGGCCTCGCTCACCCATGTACGGCTTGGTGCCAGCAAGGGCGGTCGCCCTCTCCCCGTCCTTTATGATGGTGGCGATGTTGAAGTCGGTCAGGTGCGCGTGTCCTGCGAGGAGAGAGGGCAGCACCGCTGTCCAAGGGACCGGAGATGCGCCCGGGGGGCGGGGGGCACTCACCCCTCACCCCTCGCTGGCCTCGCGCCCCCGCTCACCTTGCTCGTCCAGCAGAATGTTGTCGGGCTTGACGTCTCTGCAGAAAGAGCGGAAAGCGGGGAGACTTCCTTCCTGCTCCTGCCCGGTAAGCTTGTCAAAGCTTGGGACTCCCCCAAGGGGCGCCCAGCCAGCAGAGGCCTAAGAGTCCTGAGATGGGCCCTGGGAAGACTGAGGGCCTAAGGCCCCTCCCCACCTGTTGACACTCGGGCAGACCAGCCCTCTGGTTCCTGGGGGCCTGCCTCCAGCCCCACCTTGTGGACCAGACAGAGCAGAGAAAAGCACAGCAGTGGACACACAGGGAGCTGAAGTCCCTAGAGGACAGCAGCAGGTCCTGGGGCCCCTAACCCCCAGACTCCCCCTCGCCCAGAGCCCCGAGCTGCACAGACAGTGGACTGGGGCCTTTGCAGGCCCAAAGGTGAGCAGATAACAGATCTCCGGGCAGACGTGCTACAATCACAGCCATTTGACTTTATAATAAGCCACTCAGTGAGTTTTTTCTTTCCTGTCCTGGGTCGGCAGCTTCACCTCCCTAACTGCAGCTGCGCCAAGCTACTGCTAACATTCGTTTGAGTTCCCCAGGGATATGGCAGATGGCCAGATGGACACAACCTGCAGTTGAACACACCATGTAAAGGCTGCCCCAGCGTGGACAGACCCCAGGGTCCCCGGGACCCAAGGGCTCTGTGTGCCTGGCCCAGCTGGGACTGCGGGGGTAGGATCTGCCCCCCGTGGACATCCGAGACGCAGCTGTGGGGCTGGCGTGGCGCCACACCTGGGGGCAGGTCTGCGGGCAAGTTTGGGGCAGAGCACGAAGGAGCTGTCAGGTTCTGCCGGAAGGCGGCGCCCTGCTGGTGGCGTGTCCCTGCGGCCAGGCCTGCCCGGGCCCGGCAGGTGCGCGTGTACCTGTGGATGATGTGCTGGCTGCGCAGGTAGTCCAGGGCCAGCGCCATCTCGCAGATGTACAGCCGCACCGTGTCCTCAGAGAACTGCACGTTCTGCTGCAGGTGGTAGCGCAGGTCCCCGCCCAGCAGCAGGTCCACCACCATGAACATGTCCTCCTCGTCCTGGAAGGAGTACCTGCGGGCGACAGGGGAGGCCCTGGCACATGCATGGGGGTCACCCCCTCCCAACCCACATTCCACAGGAGCAGCGTCCTGCCTCTTCAGCCCAGGGCCCTGGGGGACCACACCCCACCTGTGAGCGAATTAGAGGGCACCCCCCCCCCAGGAGAAGATGGTTGGGGGATTCAGGAGCACTCCCAGGGAGGAAGGGGATGACCTGCTGTGGACTGCAGGTCCCCACCTCCTAGGGCTGGACTTGGAGCCCATTTTGTGAAGGAAACTCAGGCCCCCAAACTCTCCCCCACTAACATTTTCCTGGAAACTCGGTGGGCCACCGGCCTCCTCTGTGGGAAGCCCAGGCTTCTGCAGGCGGGAGTCCCTCAGGAACGCAGGTGCGGGGGCACCTGGGGCCGGGGACTGTGAGTGGCAGGGGAGAGGGAGGAGGGGCTGGGTGCAGGGTCCCAGGGTCAGGAGAGCGGGGAGCAGCGGGGCGGGCTCACCAGAGGTTCACCAGGAAGACGTGCTCGATCTCCTGCAGGATCTCCAGCTCCCGGAACACGTTCCGGACCTCGTCCCGCTCGATGCACTGCTGCTTGCTCATGTACTTCATGGCGTACATCTTCTCCGTGTCCCGCTTCTGCACGATGCACACCTGGAGGCCCCGGGCGTGTCAGCACGCGCGCCCCCCTCCCCCAGCCTGCGCGCCCCCCACCCCCTCCGATTCCCATCCCGGCCCCTACGGGCTCCACCTTGAAGTGACTGGAGGCAAGTCTCTGGAGGGACACGTGTGCTGTGCACAGGCGCCTTCTTAGAGCAGGCAGGACCCAGCTCGGAGCAGGCAGGGAGGGGGCCTACAGGCCTGTGCGGAGTCTGCATCCCACACCAGCCATGACCTGGGCAGGAGGTGTCCCTGTTCCCAACCTCAGCCCCACCTTCCCAGGGCTCAGAGCAGCAGAAGGCTTGGTAAATTGTTGGAGAACAAAGGAGAAGATCCCTTAGCCAGAGCCTTGCACCCAGGAAGCCCCTGTGCATGAGGAGCTATTTTCAAATCCCCACCCTCCCAGGGTGGCAGCCCCGCCCACCTCTTGAGTCCCCCACAGCGCTGCCCTGCAATGCCAATCAGCAACCCTGGCACTGCTCACACGATGGGTTGGTAGAGAGGATCAGGGTGAGGTGAGGACTGTGAGAAATGGGCGGGGCTCCCTCGTGGCCAAGGAAATTCCATCAGATCAGAGACAAAGGCCTCCAACAACAGACGTAGGTTTGATGCACAAAGTCACAGGCTGCACAGCCAGCACTGTGCCCCCATGGGGAGCACATGAGAAGACCTCGCAAGGAGGTCTTCTCCTTGAGCCATTTCTAAGGGTCCCCACATCCTTCGGTCTCCAGATTTTCAAGGAGCAGGAGCCAAGGGAAGTGGAAGATTCTGGAACTGGAGGTCCCAGGTGCCTCACCCAAAGGCAGGTGGTCTGGAACTGACCGGATGTCTCAACGGGCACCAGTGTCTCCGGCCAAACCTGCTGGGTCCCGCCCTTTGGGGAAACCCCACTCCGCTGGCCTAGGAGAGCATCCTGGGAAGCGAAGGGGCTTTCTCCCGGAGATGTTCATCACCGCGTCATTTACAGCAAGGCTTTCCAGCAACCTCCGCGTCCGACCACCCGGCCTCCGCAGGCCCCGCTTACCTTGCCGAAGCTGCCCTTGCCGATGGCCCGCAGGATCTGGAAGTGGTCGAAGGTCACTGTGGGAAGAGCAGAGGGATGCCAGGTGAGGGGTGCCCGGTGAGGTGCATGGCAAGAAGGCCTTGTGCCACCACAAGCCGCTCAGTTGTCAGCGTCATCCTGGCGCTGGCCGGAGGCTGGCCTCGGGCTCCTGGGCAAAGTGTGGAGGGCTCAACCCGAGGCAGAGGGGTGGGCCCCAGGGGGACCCTGGAGCCCCCTCTTCCAGAGCTCGTGGTGTGGCAAGGCTGGGCTGCCCCACCTACAGACGGAATGGCGTGAACCTCTGTGCCCAGTGGCCCCCGTAAAGGCTGCTCCCAACCAAAGAAGACCCACAGAGAGGAGGCCCTGGGACTCTCAGGGCAGCCTGAGCCTTCGAGGCAGGACACCTACCCTCCTGCTGAGTGTCCTGGGGGTGTCTGCCCCGAGGGGTCACTGGATGCGCTGGAGGGAGCCTGGCCCCACCCCAGGGTTAGTCACTGGGACGCGCCTGTCGGAGGGGCGGCCCACAGGCCCAGGAGAACCCACAGGAGTTGTTATTTCTGCCGACTTTCTGGGCAGTGGGCCCCTCCTGGAGAAAGGGGTCCGTGGAAATCACAGCAAGGCGCCCACAAGGTTTCCCCGTGGCGTGGACAGGGGTTGAAATGTGCTCTCAGGCTCCCAATTCTGTTTAGAACCAGACACCTTCTCCTGACACAGGAGACGGGTTCCTCAGCTGCACAGGCTTCTGCCCTTCGCTACCTCTCAGCCCCCCAGCCTGGCTGTGCCCCAGGTCCCCACCCTGCGGGTCTCTTCCCGCCCAGGTCTCTACCCCCCACACCCAGACGGTGAGCATTCCCGTGGATGCAAGCCTCAGGACCAAGCCCCAAGCCCACAAGCAAACGCTTTACTCCCCACCCCCTCCCAAACACACAAACACCCATGTCCTGAGGGCCTCTGTCCTCTCGTCCTCTGACCCTCCACCATCCCAGCCAGGCCCACGGCCTCACTGGGCCCTGCTGTGCTGCAGGGGGCACCAGGAGGCCTCTGAACCCTGAGGTCCGCCATCACCCACACCTGTCAGGAAGGGGCCGCTCCTCCTGGGCCACTTGGGGCTGACCTTGGCTGCTGGACAGAGGGGCTCTGGGCACGCGAGTGTGGGCACAGATGCTAAGCCAGCACACGGCTCCCGCATCCGGTGCCAGGAGGGGGTTGCTACTTTTTACAAGGTCTCAGGGAGTCGCTTGGGAAGCTGACATTTGGGCAGAGATGAGGCTGTGAGACAAAGTCCCTGCTCTGGGGCTGACCTGACCGGCTGCCGAATTCTTATGTGCAATGCCTGCTGCTGTGTGATGCTGGAGGCGCACCTCCAAAATTGCAGGGTGGGTGAAAGGAAGCGGTGATCCAACCCAACAGTCCTGTCCGCCCCTCCCCTCCCCCTGCAACACACACACACACACACACACACACTCTCTCTCTCTTTCTCTCTCTCTCTCTCTCTCTCTCTCTCTCTCTCTCTCTCTCTCTCTCTCCTGGGTGTCTGCCAGGAGCCGGAGCAGCAGGAAGCCTGTCTGTGCGTCCGGGCGTCCCGCCTGCAGGGTGATGGCGCAGCCGGCGCTCAGCCTCCATGGACCCTCAGCTGCACGGCCTCGTGGGCACGGCACGGCGCCTCCTGGGGCAGATGAACACAAACCCAGCCGTTCAGGAACCTTTCCTCTTCCGGGAAGGCTTTTATCTCGCGGAGTTGGAAGCACAGCATCGCCATGGAAGTAGGTCATGGGGAGGCAGCCGCGTGGCGAGCTTTGCTTCTCTCTCCCCAGGGCTGACACGCCGCCCGGCCCCGCAGACCCGGCCGCATCCTTCTGCGGGCTGAGGTCCGGCTCTGGGTCCCTGGACTGAGCCCCTCCTCCTGGAGCCACCTCCTCACGACCTGTCTGAGCGCTCGGTCCAAAGCCCAGCACAGCCCTCAAGGGGACAGCGAACCGTGTTCCGGAGTGTGTCACCCCAGCTCCAGAGCCAGCCCCCAGGAGAGGCCGGGGGCTCTTTCCAGAGTGGGGCCAGGGCTCCCGGGACGCGGGCCCAGGGAGACTAACAGACCCTTCCTGGAGGCTGTGCCGCGGGCGGCCCTGCTGGGACCCCGGAGCCCTGGCCCTGTCACCTGGCGCTCTATGTGGGCTGTGTTGTGGGTCCCACCATCTCAGGCTCAGGGTAAAGGTGAGCTGGAGGGAGAGGGGAGGGGTCGAAGCAGGTCAAGGTCGGCCTAGGTACCACAAAACCCAGGGGAAATGTGGGTAACGTCTGAGCACTTTCCCCCCCGAAAAACAGATCGACGACTCGTCCTTCCTCGGTGCCCGCCTCGGCCTGCATCCGCCTGAAGTTCAGCGCCCGGCGCTCGGACAGCTGGAGGCCCAGGGAGGTGCAGCAGAGCGCGGTCCCCTCACAAGCCAGGCTTTTCTCAAAACGGGCACAAAGCTGCCCCAGCGAGGAGAGGAGAGGGAAGACGGGCCGGGAGGGAAAAATAGAGCTGATGCGGAGCGGTGAGTCACCGCTGCTGTTCCCCGTGACACAATGAGGGCTCCCGACCAGCCTGGAGGGCCACCTGCTGCTGGCCCCTCCCCAGGGCCTCAAGCCCTCCGAGCCTGGGAAGTGGGGCCCCAGGCAGTCTGCAGGAGCCTGAGGAGGGTGAGCTGCCCGCAGCCACGGGGCAGGTCCCCAACCCGCCCGACCTTTCCCTCCCCACCTGCCTCCCCCACCTCACCCCGTCACCTAGGAGAGGCCCAGCCCCCAGAGCATCGCCGGGAGACCCAGCCCCTCCGTCCCCGGAAGGAAGCCATAATAAATCACAGGTGGCAAGCCACGTCTGATGACCCAGAAAACTCTGGAAGAGAGTCAGCGCATGGCCCTGGCCTGCCCTCTGCACAGCTTGTGGTCGGTCCTGCCCGGGCTCCTCAAAGGCAGCACAGGGCCCACGCCACCTCCTTGGGGCGCACAGGCCAGCCCCCCTGTGTCAGCAGGACACCTGCGCGCAGAGGGGAGGTCACCAGAGGATCTCCTCAAAGACACGCTAGGGCCCTGACTGCTCACCACCTGTCCTCAGAGGAAGCTTCATGTCCTTACCGCGTTTCCTTCTCAGAGCAGTGCAGCGAGGGGTGAACGCGCCCACTTTACAGATGAGAAAACTGAGAGTCCGGCACCGGCTTGGTAAAGGACTTCGGGACCCTCGGGGCAGAGGAGAGGATGGAGTTCTCCTGAACTTCAATCCCCTCCCAGGGACCTTCACCCAGGGCTTCCCTGGCCCCTGAGGATGCATTGAGACGCCCCTCCTCCCCCCTGGGGCAAGAAGGTCAAATGTCAAAGCGCTCATGGTCGCTGTGGGGAGCCCAGCTGTGGATCCAACAGGGCAAGATTCACTTGCCAGGAAGCGAGAGAGAGAGTGGGCTCCGGAGAACTGGCAGCTCCCGGGGGAGGGGGCTGGGGGGGCAGTGAGAGGGGGTGTCGCTACCCCAGCCCCTTCAGAGAGCTGGGTGCCGGTGGGAGCACTGTGGGCCCCCACATCGGACAGGCAGGCTTCTGGGCACAGGGGTTCGAGCGGGCTCAGCAGGTTGGAAAGGCTCCAAGTGAGTGTCAGGTGAGCATCACACCCTGTGAGCAGGGCGGGGGGAGGGGAGCCCCAAGCTCGGAACAAGCCTTTCAGCCAGCCCGGGCCTGGAGTGAGGCCAGGGTGGGGAGCTGTGGGGCAGGCGAGAGGAGCACAGCGGAGTCTCTGCCTCCCATCCCTGTGCAGCCGTGGGCAGCGAGGCCGGGCGAGGTGGAGGCAGCAGCGCCAGGCCCTCCCATCCCGCCGCTCGGAGAGCCACAGGGAGGCCGGCCGCGGAGCCCACGTGGGAGCGGCTGGGGCAGAGACTGCTCGTCAACAATGACCTGAGCCACCCTCAGGGCCGTGCTCAGCCGGGGACCAGCCCGGCGAATGCAGAATCACTGATGTCTACTCCCCGTCCCAGCAGCTGTGCGCACAGAACGTCACATGTTCGGGCCTTCCAGCCACCCAGCCTTCCCGGCTCTTCTCCCCACGCGGCTTCCCTGGCCCCTCCTCCCCACCGGCTTCCCTGGCCCCTTCTCCTCACTCGGCTTCCCTGGCCCCTCCTCCCCACCGGCTTCCCTGGCCCCTTCTCCTCACTCGGCTTCCCTGGCCCCTCCTCCCCACCGGCTTCCCTGGCCCCTTCTCCCCACGCAGCTTCCCTGGCCCCTTCTCCCCACGCAGCTTCCCTGGCCCCTTCTCCCCACGCGGCTTCCCTGGCCAGTGTGAATGCACCGCGGGGCAGTGTGGGCAGAGCCAATCAGCCACGCCAGGGGGCCGTGCACCCCTTTGGAAGCAGGGTGCCGAGGGCAGGTCCTGATCTCCTTTTAGGTCCCTTAAAGCCTGACCAGGAGGGGAGAATTTACACAGCACAGGATTCACTTCTATTCCGGAGCCCAACAGTGCACCTCAGATCACACCTGTGTGTGCCCGTGCCTGTGTGTGCCCATGCTGTGTGTGCGTGTGGGTGCGGCTCTCTGTGCGTGCAGGTGCCTGTATCTGTGTGCGGGGTGCATGCTCAGGGGTGGGGCATGGAGCCTGCACACGGGCTGTCTGAGTGGGCGCAGCCACAGGTCTGGCAGACGCATCCCACCTGGAGCCTTTACACTTCGCTGAGATCCCGGCAGTTTCTGAGCTGTGGGAAGAAATGTGGCCTTTGGATGCTGCTCACTGAGCCGTGTGTGTGTGTGTGTGTGTGTGTGTGTGTGAGAGAGAGAGAGAGAGAGAGAGAGAGAGAGAGAGAGAGAGAGAGGAGAGAGAGACAGGCAGTCAAGCTGCTGCGGGGGCAGGGAGGGTGTTTGGGAAAAACGTGTGGAGGCTGCGAGCATGGGGCCTCACAGCCACTTATCACCCCCACTGCCCGCTAAGCGCCACCTCCTCGTGCCGGCTGCCGGGCCTCTGGCTGCGGCTGACTTCCCCAAAGGCGTGAAGGCCGCTCCTGAGCTAAGGAGAGCGAGTGTCTCTGCC